CTGCTGTCTATGGGAATTTATTTATAGTGGTGCACCCTTCGGACCCGGGCCCACGTACGTCTGTGAACCAGACAAACTAAGTGGTCTTGCAATACAAATTGAAAACGCTTTTGAGCAATAAATCTTTAGGAGCCAGTCTATTTCAGTGTCGCGGAGGCAGTGGCGTAGTACGCATGCAGCACATGCAGTGGCGATGGACGTGCATAGCGTTATGACAACCAAACATGTAACAACTCATGCATCGTTGATCGTTTCTTGCCAAGAACAAAGGCAGATTAGAGTGACAGGAGAATTTATTTTCTGAGCTGAATTGTTTTCTCCAATATGTTAAATGCAGTTTGTTTATTATAAGCTAAAACATAAAACAATGTTCACAGTATATCATTTGCCTCATGAGAATTTTATTTTCATTTTGACTCTGGAGCTGAACTGTTTTCATTTATTTTTGTAATAGGTTAATTGACGTGCCACTTTGTTTCCTCTAAGCTGAAGCAGAAAACGATGCGCAAAGAATGTCACTGTACTGCTACCTCGTGAGAAATTCATTTAAAACCGGAAAGTGGAGCTGAACATTTATGTTTTACATATGATTTTTCCACGGTTTTGCAGTGCTACTGTATTTTAACAACCTCAGTCTTGCCAAGAAATTGAAGCCTCTTTTATGAGTGAGTTGACTGAAACCATTGCCTCTCGTCATTTTTTATGGTCTTTTATTAATTCCAAGTTGTTAATTCACACTTCACGTAGTAACAAGGCCATGCGCTCTGAAGTATATGTGCATGTGCATCACTTCTAAGCAAAAAGAAGAAGAAAAACGGGTCACGGTACCACAGTACATTTATCCAATCTTAAATAAATCACACAATAAAGTTGCATCCTGCAAATTCAGTGTAGGCCCCTATACATTGTCTTCAACTACAAGAATGGGATTAATCTGGAAACTTTGGAGTTTTTTTTTCATCAGGATTTTCCTGATTTTTAGGATTTTTGTGAACAGTCTCTTTTAAAAAGTAGGAAATCATGTGTTTACCGCTTAGGTGTCTTACGTGTAAACGTTATTTCGAGGATACTTCCTATTTCTTCTAATCTCACCCCTCACCTAATAAACCCAAATCGGTGCGATCGATAGATCGCTGGTGTACGTGTTTGCAGAAGTTTTGGCGGTACACCTAGACGCAGATTATCGACATCGGCATGAAAAGTAAGAGATCACAGTTCACAAGACATTTTCCCTGACAACAGGTCTTTCACCTAAACCTAAAAAGAACAAAAAGCCAAGAAATAAAAAGTAAACAAGAATAACTTAACGATGGACTATTACAATAATTCTAGTTAGTTTCCATTTACGTCTTGCGGCTGAGGGTAGGTCAGTGCAAAGGGGATCTCCTTAAAGTACTGTGACGGAATTACCCAGAAACCCCAGACTTTAAGTGTTCCCCCGACGGTCACTCAGCGAGTGTGGTACTCCCTCAGGAAAACCTACGACCGGAGGGGAAGGCTCGTTGGACGGAGATGTACCGCCTTATTCGCAGGGCTGACCGGACAGTGCCCCAACAACCTCCGCGGGCACAGACAGGGCAACTACGGACAGGACATGAACAGACGGGACAAGTAACTACATGTATATGGAAGCCTCTTTTATTCATACGTTAATCATACAAGACAATGTGAGCTTCTAGGTGGTCACTATAATGTGGTACCCTCAAAGGACTGTAGGACTTCAGTTGCAAAGCCTCTACTAAGCGCTACCGTAAATAGCCTCACGCTACCCTTGCGCCTCCTAGTTTGGACCCTCCCGTAAGGTAGCCTCCAGGCTACAAGTATTCGTCTCCAGGGTACTCCACACCCCTGAGAACCAGAACTAATCCCTATAGTTCCTTCCCTGGTATCCCACCGTGGGTTCCACTCAGGTATGTACAAAGGCCCACGCTCAAATCCACGTAGTGCTTCCCGTAGCCTCCTATTACCCGAGCCTGACTTCAGTACGTCCGTCTTGGACAAGATCCAAACTCCAACCACCTGGCTACAGCGCGCGAGCTCTCTTTTGGGTCCAGTTCACTAATTCAAGCCCCATTGAAAACTGTGTAAAATCAGCACCGTTCAGGGCCTAATAGCATGCACACCAACATCCCTGAGATTTCTGAAACACAAAATTCTTGTCTGGTCACTTATCTTTCGATTTCTTTTTAATTTTTTGTCGGTTATCCAATTACATTTTTAATTATTCCCACAAAACAAAACCACCCCCCAAAAAGTGATTTTTCCGAAGTCTGATTGCAGCCATTTTTCAAGTGGCAACCTCAGCTTTTTCGGGCACTTATGACCATTTTTCAACCGTAGTTTTTAGCCCTTCTGCTCTCATATGAAAGCTCAAAGACCCAGGGAGTTGATCCTGGCAACGATTTACACAATCTCACCATTTTGGGGGCAAAACAATCTCCTTTTTCAAAAGATACTGTGGGGGGCACTTTTAATGCTAATGAGCTGGTCAAAAATTCTCGCTTGAATTAGTGGTCAGGCTGCACCGTTTTATTCGCATAATAGCGCCCTCTTTAGCTGAACAGGGGTAAGTCCTGCGCTCGCGCTGTCTGATAATGTACCACAGTATACATGTAAATCATTTGCGTCACTGTACTTTAGTTTCCTGATTATTTTTCACACTTCTTTCTTTTTTCCCTCCTTGTCCAGTCATGTTCTGCCTATATTCATATTTTTGTTTATGTGTTTTTTTACAGTTAAGTAGACAAGTACTGATTGAACTTCTCAGCCATTAAGATCTTAATGGCTGAGAACTGATTTTCCCTTGACGCAGTTTTGGCAAGCATAGCTGAATAGTGCTTGGGATCTAAGGGGCTGAAAAGTTCAAGAGTGGATCTAAAATGTTTTAAAGGCGACACTGAGTCGTTGTATGATACGTTATTTTGTAAGAAACCTCATTGGTTTAAAATCTAGGGTAACGATTTCCACGGCAGGTCATTGTGGAGTTACCCAGTTGCTTAAAAGCAATGTTTATAATGTTGATTTCCGCATAACAGAACACGTTTTCTACGGTGACCCTGGAAGGACACAGTATTCACTGTTAATGATTTTTTTTGCGACATCTAATATATAAGAATTTTTCACGACTATTTATAAATATATTTTGCAAAGTTGTGAATAAGTCGCGACTACCAGTCGTGAATATTCTGGACAAGTCATAAATTTTTGTCGTGAATATTTCCAACACCTTGAGGGGTTCAGCAATGTAGCAGTTTAGCAGTAATGTCCTCTTTTTAATCATCTGTTTGCCGGTAAATACAAATTAAGCTACTGAAAAAAAATGTTCGCGAGAAAATTCACGACCGGTGCTGAAAAATTTTCCAGACGTTGTAAATATATTCACTGCTAGTTTTACATAAATTCACGGTAGATATCTATGACAGGTTGTGAATAAATTCACGACGTCACAAAGATAATCACGACTAGCCATGAACAAGTTCACGGTGTCGCAAAAATATTCACTACAGTCGTTAATATTTGTGTTCCTCAAGGGCCACCATAGTTTTCAAAAGCCCTTCTTCCAGCGCGTGGAATGTCGATCATCATTTCCAGTGAACTTTCACCCGGGTTCTTGGATCAATGAACTTTCACCCGGATCTTGGATCCTGGATTGTCGCCAGAATACCGCAGTCGTGACAACATGAGATTACATTGTTTAAGAAAGCATGTACTAAATGTTAGCTTGATGTTGTGGGTATTGTTTAATACCCTACCGTTGCGATTTAAGAGACCAAAGAGCCTCATATAAACGAAGAGACCTGGCACAGACTGATGATAATACACAAGAAAATGGAAGTAAAATTATTACCAAGTAATGTTGTGATTAAAAACTGTCAGCGAGAAGCCTGATATTAATATGACTATGGTGACTAAATGGGTCATGCACAAGAATGGTTACAAGCCAATCAGTGGAATGGATAAGACCTATTTCGTGTTAGCCAGCCGTTCAAATCTCCCTGTGTGCTGGTATATTGGCTTGTATTAGGGGTGGCATGCTGTGCTCATGGTAATTTACGCATTCAAAGTTTAACGTGGGACGATCTGTGGGAGATATATCCCCAACTCGTGGACCAGAGGATAAACCTTGTGATCATCATCCATGTTTTGGATTTGAAACAAAATCTTTTCGGCAAACGAAAACGCATGACATGTTAAAGCGTTCTAAAACAGTACAAAATCGTTAAATTGCGCCGTTTTAATATAAGGTTCAGGCACAAAAGTGCGTTAGATGATTATAATTATTGTCTGCTGTGAAGGGGTCCATTTTTGGCATACCGTGAGTAGTGTACAAACCAATCGCTGCGACCCGTCATAGCTGACATTTTGACATTTCCGCGCGGAAACCTTGAGAGTAATCTTTTCAGTGCTGTCATTTCTAACTTCTAAAACTGTTGTCTCTTTCCTGATGCAGTGCAGAATTCGCGAGCTATTCCCGCAAAGTGATGATCCTCATTTTTCTTCTTGCTGATGCTGTCCTAATCAAAATTCAACTTGAACAAGACAAACGGAGCAAAGCAATTACGACGATATAAGACAACAATGGCGGTCGTTACAGAAACAAGGCTTCACGTACCGCTCCCTGCAGTGAAGTATGATCCCGCAGGAGTATACGGTAGGCCTATACAATGAGGGCACACAAAAGCAAAAAACACTAACGACATTTACGAGAGCTGTATGATTTTTTTCTACGTCTTGCTTAGTAAGTGTCAGGTCGGTGCCGATAGAATAAAGTACTCTTGTTTCCATTCTTTTCTGTCGTTAAGTATTTCTTCTTTTTTAGCTTTTCCCATGCAGTCCCTAATTCTGTTTGTTTTATATTCATATTCCTATTTACACGTATTTTTTCACAGTTCTAATTTGACGAGTTTGGATTAAGCGTTTAATGACAGATTATCTTCTTGTACACAACAATTAAGGCAAGCACACCTATTGGTATCCATTGGGGTAAGCTGAACAGTAAAAAAGTGGTCCACACTCCCCCCGGAAAATGTTTCCCTGAAGACTCGCTGGTTTAAATCACGGCGGGGGGGGGTTGATTTCAACTACACGTACATGTGAATGTTGGATGAGCTCATTGCTTAAAAGCACTGTTAGAAGTTGAATCCTTATCACAGCAAAACACACTTTGGGGCCAATGTCCAGGATGTGAAAACTAGAACCTGCTGCCGGTGGCACGGTCTTCCAAAATCCAGGGTAACGCTATGCCGAGTTGTTTTTCAAATTCAATGTTGCACGACCAAGGGCACGCCATGTTGATCATTATGTGTTGCTGAACTTTTCACCCGGATTGGGGCCCTGGATTGTCGCCAGAAATTTGCAGTTATGAAAACGTGAGATATTATTGCAAATACTGTATGTGTTTCACAGTGATTTTCCATAGCCCACAGTTACGCACAAGAGTTTAGTGAGAAAGAGGCGCTGTTGGATGCCTTTTTAATGCTTATTTCGCAGAAATTACAGTGAAATGACTTGGGAGTACGGTTATGATTAAACTCACTCAAAAGGGTTACACAAAAATTTATTGCCAGTCCCGCCAACGCGGCGATCCGACTGAGTCTGCTAGTGTTTCGTGTGAAATCTGTCGTCCACTAGAAAAGTTCTCAATGCTTGCTGGCATTTTGACTTGCAAGTAATGTAAATGCTTCCGTCCATGTTTGAAACAACACCCAATCCCTTCCAGCTCAGTATCCCTCCCTTTATGGCTTTTCGATTTTAATCTAGTGTCCTCGCCGGCACGGCCGCCGGGTTGGACTCTGTTGACATCGTTGTTTTACGCATCGCATTATCCCCCAGTGCAGTACCTGGTGCACCAAGTCGTGGGTAAACGTAATTCACCTTCCCGCTGTAATCAAAACACTGTTGTCAAATCACCCACATTTGTTTTTGTTGTTTTGTTTAGTTTTGTTTAGTTTTGTTGTGTTATGTTGTGTTGTGTTGTCTTTGGTTTGGTTTAGTTTGGTTTGGTTTGCTTTGGTGCTGAATTCAACGCGGCAACACAACCTCGCAGAATTTTCTCAGAAGGTATTATCGCATTGGCCCTTTCACCGTTGAAGACATTGGCCTCGCCAGCGTACATGTCAACGTCGTACGTGCACGATGTGACCTTTGTCTTCTGAGCGATCAGGCCACCAGACGTTACTGCGTGGAGGTCAGCCAGTCGTTAAAATCAACGTTATTCGCTCGTAAACGTAAGGGAATAATATTTGGTGATTAAGGACCCAGACATGATGAACGCTGGGAACCTCCTGCCAAGATTGCAAAATAATGCCTTGCGGCCGAGCGCACTCGTTATCGATTATTATGGCATCACGTACTGACCCTGATATTCGGTCTTGGATTGTCGCCAGCTGAGAATTTCGCAATATGAAAGTCGTGCGATTATTTTCGTGGAAGGAATATACCAAAAAGTTATGTAATCATGTCGGATAATAAAGAGTATACCCCCAATGTGCCTCAGACGAAGAACCTTTTTACCTTAACTTTCAAGAAAATAATAGTTGTATCACTATAAATTAAGGCGCTGTGATTTAAAAAAAAAGTAGCACCAAACCTAATCGGCTTTTGACAAGAATGTGCGTGCACGGATGATAGTCAGCCCCCCAAGCGAATGGACTTGGCCTGCACCGTTTAAGGCCGCCTCTATTGATGTCTCCATATTTCACGTGCTGATATTTGTTTCCAGCGAATATTTGCACTCTGCGCCCATGCGTGATGACGTATTTGGACTAGTTCGGCACGAGGCAATCTCAGCCTGTTCAAAATGCTCTTGCGATGCAGTTTTTTATCGTGGGCTTCGTGGTACTGGATCATTTTAGTGGTTTCCTTTTCTTACTTCACATGCACGGCTTTGTTACCGCCGTCAGAAAATCCCAAACGAAGTGAACGTAAGTATAACCATGGGAATGATGTTCATGTAGGCGTCTTCGTATCTTGCTTTCGTTGCTTATCGGCATAAGCCCGGAGAAAAAAATAATATGCCTACACTTCAGCTCTCGTTGAAAAAAATTCCCTCTCAAATCATTTATGTTTAGACCTATGTGTAGATGCAAAGTATAAACAAAATTCTGTTTAAAACTGTTACGGTTGCTCCTTTGCCAATGATCACAGATCCGATTGCTGGCGGATGATAATTAAAATTTCTCAATCAAAACCAGAGACACCGACGGGCTCGTGAGGCTTTCGATGCATGTCTTGTGCATTTTGTTCGCAACAATCTCTTTTAGTGAAGTAGAGGCCATTTATTCTAAAGTTTGTCATTGTTAACATTTGTCGATAATGAATATGAATTGTGCCCTTGGCTGCAGATTCTCCATAGAATCTTTCCTTTGTGTTGCGGCGAAATTAAGTTTGACATCATGAAGGCTGTGACTCTCAGCTGTTTTTTCATCGTCATTTTGATTGTGGGAACTGTGATGAGTTCTGAAGTACCAAGTGGACATGGTGAGTTGAATTGATCAGTTAGGTAGAGGAAGATAACCTGCATTTCATATTTTCATATTTCGGGAGAATAATTTAAGTCCATTTTTTTTATCTCCATTTCCTGTCAAAAATGCCCAAGTCTGCTATGTAGTTTACTGTGACGTAATACTAATTGGACAATTAGATTTGAGCAAAACGTATGCTTCTATGATGTGTTGAATAGAGGTTTTGCTGTGGCAACCGTGACTTTTGTTAAATTGTCTTAATATCACATTGGATGGCTTTTGCCAAAGAAATACATTGCTGTATAAAAAGAAACAAACCACCAGTTTCTTTATTCTATCTCCATTGTTTGACAGACGAGAAAGGTATTAAAAGGGTGAACGAAGCAGCTGGCAACGCCGATTCAGACTGGTTTGTTTGGAAAGACCGGGTTGCACGCAATGCGCAAAGTAAGTGGTGTCATTGCGAGTGTGAAGAAATGTTAGGTTCTGGAGAGTTAATGAGCATTATCTTTACGCTATGGTCGTAATGATCACCGACAGCGTTAGCGAAGAGCCTATGACAACTTTTAAACATTCATGATTACAGAAAGGATGGGGGGACGACTAAAACAATTGGAAAAGCTGAAACCGCATGCTCACTAGATGGCGTTTGCCTGCTTGGCGTTGAGATGTAGGCCTATAGGACTCGACCCGATATGCATACCGATAGACTGACATCACGCACTCTGGCGTACCGGCTGCAATGCCAGAGTCTCAGTGGGACAACTGTTCCTATGGCGAGTAAATAAAACCGTAAAATGTCATGTAAACATTAAAATTAATAAGTTAGAAAGAGCTGAGCAGAAGTGAAGTATGTTGGCGTGAAATAGACGAAACAAGTTTAAATATAAATGTTCTAATTTCGAATGCCCGAATTTAAAAATTGTCAAAAACGTGTCTCTGCCGTGTGACAGTCAGTTTGGCCACTGTGATAGCCGAGTTGTTTTGTGCGTCTTTTGACAGGATGCTGTATTAATTGTCGTCCGAGTTGCTACTGTTGCTATGCTTAAAATAGCAGGAAATGTTTTGTCACGTAAGTTTGTGCCAATCGCATTCTTCCTCCCGGCCTCAGTGCTTTGTCAGTAAAGGCCCTATCCCATATCACAACCATAGCAGCATTCCTAACGTCTTGCACAGTCTATGGCAACAAAGTTAACATTTACTGCTATGCCTTTGAAAGGAGTGTATTTTTTGGAAAACGGTACGCTAAATTTCAATAAAATTTGTGGAATTGTTTTCGTAATTTTTGAATGCTCGGCACGACAAAAATGAGTCTTATATGTTATCAGGAAAATTTAACACGTTTTAACTTCAATCAATTAACCCTCAGTTCGCGTGTTCATAAACAATACGACTTTGTTTTTGTTTGAGCTATGGTAAAATAAATCACTATGAATTTTAATGTGTTGTACTTATATACCTCTGATACAGGCGACCGAGAAATTCGCTCGTTACTGCTGGCTTTGGACGGACTGTGTTCACTTGTTGATGGGAAGCCGAGTTTAAAGGTTTCCAGTTTCTTATTAGGTTATGAAATTAACGCAATTATAGCACCCTGCATGCTCTCAAGTTCATTGGGGTTGATTTTTATTTCAAAAACTGTTTAAAAAAGCACATAAAAGTATAAATCAGAGTGGGAAATAGTTAAGTGTGTATTTTTGTGTTAGAATTTTTTCATTTCCTGATTTGTCACTTAAACTTTATCTGAATACCATCATTGACGGTTCAAGCTTTACAACGTGTCAGTCACACGGTCATTTGCTGTTTGATCTGAGAGTGTAATATGGAGGATCACATCTACAGATTTGTACACATTGTGTAAGGCATCCTGTTTGTTCTTCCCATAATGAAAAAAAAACAAACTAAACTTGAACAGTTTTCGTCTGAAACAAGTACCCTGCTCTCTCTGAATTGCTGGGTAGTAAAAAGTACACGTACTAGTCTCAACTTGCAGCATAATAGATCGAAATGCACCGGTAAAAAATTTGCAAGGATTTAGAGATATCTGGTCCAAAATATTTCGGAAATTGCTGCTGTTCATTGTACGTCTCTATTGCTGAAGGTAACTAAGTAGTTCAACATATTCAACATATTAGTTCAACATTTTGCCATGTGTGGTCTCTCGGAAATGGTCCTTAATTGGGTTGCTTCTAAGGTGCTGAAAAACCAGTGAACAACTATAAGCTTATCAATTTAGCTCGTAGATTCTTAAGGGTATATAATTGACGGCACTAGAGCTCCTGCGAAATATTCTTTTTGACGTGCTCTCATTAGGCCCCCCAAAATAATCAGTCTCTAGTCAGACCAAAGTTCCAGAATTGATGAGGTGATGCTTTTTTTTAGGGGGGGTGGTTTTTTAGGACTGTGTGGCATATTTAATCAAATAGCAAAGGCTAGTATTAGCACGTCGCACGTCATGCCGCCATTGTTGTTGATCAGCTGGCTACAACTTTGTAACCTACCTGTGGTCTACTCTTTGTGTTCTACATTAACATCATCGGGTACGAGCTACCCACAAATTAGTCTGGTTCCTTGAACAAATTGCCCTTCTGACTTGTGGACTTGTGGCTGAGAATCAGTCTACTCGCGAACATTCCGGCAGTGCAGAAATAGAGGGGGCTATTTTGAAAATTTTGAGGAAAAAATGGAAAACAAATTGACGCGCACGTTTAAAATCGACGCGCGTACTTACCAAAGACCGACTTTTGGGGGGACCTCGGTAGGAAAACCTTAATTGTATCTGGAAAACGGTTCATGATAATTTAGGTAAAATATAGCACTTTATGCACACGTTAGAGGCTTGTTTTACACTTTGACTCCTTTATAAACCGTAGGTGCATTGTTTTGCTGAATATCGCTAACAATTTTTCTTCAGTGTTGAAACAGTTCTGTAACCGGGAAATATTTCTTTTCAAACGATTTTTGTGCTAGAATTGGAGAAATGTTAGCTTTCATTCTTTGTAGCCTTTGAGACGTCTTGTTGTACACAGTCTAATTTTTCTTCCATGTGTTTGCTATTAGTTGTTGATATTACGCGTTGCTAAACCTTTGCAGTTCTTAGTTTAGTCATTGGTTCATTCATTGAAAGCCAAAGTTTGCAGAGAAAACGTGTCTCGTGTCTGGTTTGTTGAGAAGTCTTCGTCGTTTACTTACTACTGTGTTTGTTTTTAGCTGAGTCAAGCATATTTGTTCTACAAGCAGATAAACCAAATACTGCTCGCGCTTTGCTCACGCATTAACACGTACCGCGCAGGCGTAGTCCAACCAGAATGGCGCCTATGTGATAACAACATTTTACGCGTATTCACGGTGAAGTTCCCCATCTTGCGCCGCTACGCGGCGCTATGCTATCTTTGACAAGGACAAGTGAAAGAACGAGCATGTAGCTCATAGGGTCAAGGTTGATCCAGAGTATATTCAGTGTCGAGTTCAATTCGTTCTCATGTTGTCGTGGTATATATTTCTACCACAATGCAGACCAAAGATTATATAGCGCTGCGTTGTGGCGCAAGATGGATAATTTGGCCAAAAGGTCTTATTATCATGGGCGCCATTCGAGTGTGAACATTAATGCATAGGCGCAGGCCAGGCATAGTATGTGCGTGCTTGTCGCAGCGCCTGCGCCTGTGCATTAACACGCTTTTCGCAGGCGTAGTCCAACCGAAATAGCGCCCATGCGATGACCACGTTTTACGCGTATGCACGGTGAAGTTCCCCATCTTGCGCCGCTAGGCGGCGCTATAAGATTTTTAATGCAGACTGTGATGGAAACGGGCCTGGCGCCATATATTACACAAAAAACCATTCCCCACTTAAAAGGACACTTTATTTAAATTCTGTTTCAGATTTTGTTTTGGTTGAATTGATTTTCACTGAAATGGACATCGTTTTATTTATACATGTACTAGCTCCCACAAGTCTACTTCGGAAATTTCCCGGTAAAATTAATGAAAAAGTAGATACCTAGCAACCCACACAATGACAGAAAGATTGCTGTCTCTCCTCCCAGCAATTGGTCTTGTGTATTCCATCACATGTGAGGGCGCTGTTGTGTCTTTATCAGCCGTATGGTTTACTGCTATTGACACGCTCCCTTAGCAAGCAACATAAGATCGGACTAAAATAACGCCACCTTGTGACATTCAGGAGCAAGATGGCATGACGCCTTGCTTCTGAATGAAAACACACTGCCGCGACTGGTATGCTTTTTCTCTGGAACTTCTCTGGGACTGTTTTATTTTCAACTTCACCAGTAAATGTATTAACCTTACTCTGTTAATCATCTCAGATGCAGAGTTTCAATTGCAGGTTAAAAACACCTAAGATAGTTTAGCCATTCCTATTGGTCAAGAGACCGTCACGTGGTTGGTCTTGTTAACGCACCAGTTCACCGTGCACAAACTCAAACGGGACGCACCAAGCGCGCACCAAAGCCTATTGTGTACGATTTCCGGCACAAAAGTCCAATCCACTCAGAGCAAAATAAAAGAGGGCGTATTTTTGATACCGCATAGGCGCGCCATAAGGCGCGCAAGTATATGCGCGTTTGACGTGGAGCACGCACGTGGAGGCGCATATTTTTTTCCAGAATTTATGGTCTTGGCGTATACGCAGAACGTGTGCAAGAACCCGCTTGGAAAACGTATTACTACACCTCATAAATATTCATGAGCAAATCGGAGCGCATCATTACCGATTCCACCTCGCGTCTGGAAAGTAGAAATGATACGTGCCAGGTGACGTCATAGCGATGAGTATCCACCTCGCTGCCGTGCGGATATTTTTCTGGTAGCAGTCAGCGTGCAGCATCCGTAAAAGCTGCTCCTTTCATTTCCTACGTATGCACGGCTGTCTGAATCGTGCATATGTAATGAGCTATGTAGTGGACTTTTTTAAAGTGTATACCACCTTGTGTTATCTTTAAAAATGAAATATCTTTACATAAATGTACAGTTAAAATATCAGTCTCATGTCCTTTTGTAAAAAAAAATACAAATATTCGCGGTGTCTTTTGAAGGATATTAGGCGTAAAACGTAGGCTTTCGCGTGTAAAAACGAGGGCCAAAAAATGGTTTTAGTGGATCCAAATCTGGGTCGGCAGAATCTTCTTGACAGCAGAAAGATAGATATGTCATATATCCAGCCAAACAATAAGTCTTTACTTTTCAAGTCGTTGCGAAACAGCCAAGTGCACCCAAAATATTTCGTTATCGCAGGTTTAGACTGCCGTATGTGTTTCGTGAAAGACTCTCTGTGATTGGTTGATTGGTTGATTGACATATTCTCTCTAATACTGGCCAATCAAATGACATCAGAGACACGCGTAAATGTATGTGACCAAAATCGGGAACCCAGATTTTGCATTGAAGGAAACCCAGTGTTGGTCGTTTAATAGGGAACCAAACTTACCAATGTAAACACTGCCGGGATCGGTGAGTGAGTAGTGCATAAAACTTTAAAATTTTGATTGGCCCGGCAGCGAAAATGTTGGTATTAAACGGATGTATTAATCCTTTTCCTGAAGAGTTGTAAGTCTCAATTTTATGCAGTTATAGCGAAACAGTCAGGTGCACTTAGTAAAGAGGAGGTCTGCGATTTACGTGAAAACCGCTGAGCAAGTTTGCGTCCAAATGAATCGTTGGGAAATTGTCTATCATCGCCGAAAGATAACTTTACTGAGAGTGAAAAAAATTCAAATATCTACCCACCAAGCCATTTCGACCCAAGGAATGACCCACACCTCGGGACCTGTATAATTCCCACTACAGTACTTCCCCTCAAACCATGCTGTATTTGTATACCATCTGTCTTTCTTTCGCCGCTTGGGGTGTACTTCAACTCGGGCACTGAAATAGCATGGCTAAGAGATTTTTAGGGGAAAAAGTAATTTGTTGAACAAATCGCTAGAAATTTCTAGTTTTTCAATTTTATTGAGACTTTGTGACCCAAAAGGTATTCGTGAATAGGATTACATAATGATTAACCGGTCTGAAATGTTGAAGACTGCTTCAGGAGAGTGGACACTGCTAATATCCTTCTCCTTTGGCTCAGACATGATCAGCGTCCATTCCCCTGGTCCGGTCTTCAGTGAAAGTTTAAGATCTGGCAAGTATATATTTATTCCCTTAGTAACCTTTGAGAAGTAGTAAAACGTACGGGTTGCGACTGAGGAAAATTAGCAGCTGTCCTTTTCATTGATGACAGCGCTTCACATCGCCAGGTGGAATAGTCCTTGGCGAACTCATTTGACTTGACAACTTGCTCCCCATAATGCTGTTTTTCTAAGCAGCTGCACCGGAGTCGTCTGCCTGCACATGGCTTTATATCCTCCCAACCCGAACTACACCTGGCAAAAATGTCACATCACGGACGACAGAACATCATACATTTTTCAGCCACTGCGTTTTCTGCATGGGCAACTCACCAAAACAAGTTACATTATACCCGCCTGCCGCCAGCACGCGTTTTTTTAAACATGTCTTTCCCTCACCATTGCGCCCACGCGTACATTTCGTATGTCTCGGTCATGCTTGCAATTTGCATCTGTCTGACCAAGGTATATTACTTAAACATTAGTAAGTCATATTTCCTTTCAATACTAATCTTTGTAACTGTCTCAGTGCTCGATAAGACTGTGAATAAAACCTATTGCATGTATACGCTTTTATATGCGTGCAAATCGCAAGCATCGTCCATTCTGCTCAGGCGAGACCATGCATGCTTGCACTCATGATGTTGCATGCGTTCGCAAATTCATAGTGTATTTGTGTGGGTTAGATATTTGTCTGAACTCTGGCACCTCACAGACTACAGGATTCCACGAAGAAATAATGAAGAAATCTGTGAATCATTTGAAGCAACTAAACTATACCACCCAAGCAACTACTTGGGTTGCGCAATTTGAATGTGGCAGACATTTTGAAAAAAAAATTCAATGTCGCACAGCTTAATTTTAGTTAACATAATAGTGCTTTCTAAATTGGATACCGGTTTACCGGAAAAAGTAAATACCTCTGCGAAAGAAAACTTGCAAACAAAGGAATCGTATTCATGTTAGTAACGTGCTAATTTGACCAAAAGGTGCATCTGGGTGGTTGTTTCCAAATACTGCGGAAAAAACTATATGCAAATAAAGTTCGACCATAAGAACTTGTATTTGAAAAGGGGGCCGTCTTTCCCTTGAACTAAGGCATTATGACAGCTGTGAACGAAAGCAGAGTAGGCTTCGCAGATTTTTTCTCGATGCAGTCAGGCCACGATTCTCATCGAAGTACATAATTATTAACGTCTAAGAACAATTACTCTAAAAATACTATGAAACGTGGGTTATGCGTGGGAAGTTCCAACTTCAGTTCTGTTAACTTTTACATTAAACCTGTATCCGTGTGTCTTTTAATAATAGAATGATCAATTAAGTTTATCCGATCTGTCGACATCCTATAAATGGAAAAGACATCCACACTTCAGATCGTGCTGCGTGCGCCGTGTACCATCCCCATTGAGGATTGGTTTGTATTCGAAAAAGGCAAAGTAATTTGCGAACAAAGCATCTGACGTCACGTCGGTTGCAATTAACATGTGCAATGCACACAGGGTATACCTCGCGTGCACATATTGATGCTCTCGAATGAGCTATGATTCGCCTTGTTTTGAGCATGCGCTAAAGAAATACCGAACTGTTTCATTAAGTTAGGAAATGCACAACGAGTTGTAGAAGTTGTGCTTTAACACTGAAAACAGTGGTTGGTTGTAAACTGGTGTATTCTTCTGTTAAATCATTTTGAGGTCGGATAAGTTCCGTGTCTGTACAACCTTCGCAGTCTTATTCAGTAACTCTCTTCATAAATGTCAAGTGTTCAAAAGGTTTAGTAAAGCAACAATAAACAATTCTGCTTCCATGCATTTCATTTTGTTCATTATGTTGACGCAGATTCTCCATGGAATGTGGGGTCATTCCGTCACGTCCAACCAAAATTTCTACATGCACCACCAGCCGGAGGCTTGGTTTACATTAATTTTGTTTATGTGGGTAGGTGGGTAATGAATCCTGTAAAGTCTAAGGCCCTGGATGATTGACAGCCAAATGAAATAGGAATTCATATCTAAATACTCAAAAGTAAATCAAGCTTCGAAGTTCGAAACACTTTTTTCTTTTACCCCTCATTTCTGCAATTTATGCAACAAACCTTAAGTAAGAACTCATGAACGTGAAAACAATAGACTTCAAAAAACGGAAATTTTTCGATGTCATTTCAGCTAATTACATTGAACTCAGATTGCTTGTATCCATTGCCATAATTATGCAGATATATTTTTAATAGCTGTTTTAATTTTCACAGAAATACAAAGGCAAGCTCGGGCGCCAACTATAGTATGAATAGTAGTCAGTTTGCTTGTTAAGAAACAGTTCAGTTGCACTGAACTGTCGTAATGATAAACGGATTCGGTTATTGATATATAGCGGTGCGACCATACCCTGGGGCTTGGTCCCAAATGGTCAACTGGGTAATCCAAACTATCCATTGGTCGGGCGGTGTAAGTCGAACTGTAGTTAACTATTGTCGTCGCTCGAACTTGCCCAAGCTGCTGGATCTGTAAAAGCGCCCTCCGTAATACGGGTGGTTCATAATGCTGTGCGCCACCAAGAGGTTGCCATAGAGAGGCCTTTTTGCAGTGCATTATTGGAAAACGGTCGACAAAGTTCTTGGCTCCGGTTCTGCTGTGCGTATGGACTTAAACTGTTCCGCTCTTCTTTTTCTGGGTTGAAGATTCAAAAGTGTTAGGAGTATCAGTGTTAATTTGTTTTTTCATGAGGCACGTAATGGCCTGATAAATCACACATTTCCTCAAACTGTCAACTGACATTCACATTTATTGGTGATTTTTAACTTGAAAAATGGCCTCGCCTTGACAACCAATTGGTGGCACAATGCACTGTATTGTGAATCACCCGTTTTAAAAAGACTTGTGATACAATGTGTACAAACCATAAGTGTCAAAAGTGACACTGCATCTTACGCTAAACTCAAGAAAGCCTGAAATCCTAATCAGCACACCGCGACCTATAGTTAATTTTTCGTGCAGTTTGTGCTAACTTGAACAACATGGCATTCGTTCACTTCTGTAGGCACGAGGGAGACATTGGGGACTAATAGGCTTATTGGTGCAAGTGGAGTGAACAGGTGGAAAATGGAAATCTGTCGCCCTACTCAGCGGAAAATGTGTCCCCTGGGATATTTGTCCCCGTAAAACGTCAAATGTTTGGCGCCCCGACTATGTTTTGCTTTCTTTCGACTCTTTCCGTGCGGCATCTTGACGGACGCCTTGCTTTCTTTTTGGAATGCCCGTTGATTCAAACCACAGCAATCGGGTGAGAAGGGCTATCCTGTACGAGATGTTCGTACAGACCGATCGAGATCTGCGCGCTAGAAAGTTCTTGTCTGAAGTTATTGTGCTTGAAGCATACGTGGAAGCTATTATGAGTTCGACCATAGTTTACCGAAGTGCGGGGAGTTTACTATAGTTAGACCCACTGTGAGCTTACTGACTTCCCCCCGGAAGTTTGCAATGACACTGAGCCAGCTGCAGCTGCAGTGCAGTCGATCACAATATCATGTCCTATGTACAGGTGAATAACTACGCGTGCAGGAAGTCTGCAGAATACGTTGCTTCCTGTTCTGATTTCTTCCAAAAGCACAGCTAGAGCGATCTCTATGAATCTGGAAGTTTTTTTTTTTTTCGTTTTGATAGTTTGATGAGAGGCAGAAAAGTCTATTGCGGACTGAACTTATCACAAAAACATAAAACTTTCAGCTTCTGCGTGGCTAGGGCGGCAAAATTACCAGAGGACAGAATAACCTGAAGGGGACCAGAACTGAGGGACTTGAAAACTTTCATCCAGGTAATGCTGTCCCCGGACAGTTTTACCGGTGGACAGATTTTGGGATCTGCACGGTATCCTTCAAGAACTTCACCAGCAGCCACAAATGTTCGAAGTAAAGGCAATGCCGGTAAGTCAGGTAAATAAAAGTACAGCTAACATCTGCCCAACTTTAGGGGAATCTATCCCAACTGTGCCCATAACGTGCTGCCCAAGTAGACGTTTCCAATTGCACCCGATACAGCAACAGTAAAGCTTGTCAGGTGCACCATTGATGAGAACATGTCCTCGTTCCTTTAAAATACATACAGAAGTACCTCAAGCACACGTTCTGTGCCTTCACTGCAACTACGTTAAAATTTTAAAACCCACCATTAGGATCTCAAACAAGCTCTCAGCAGTCAGTAAATTTTAGAGAAAGCGATGCTCTTTCAGTTGTTTGCCTTAAGTTAGACCAAAATTATCAAACGGCACGTCGTATACAATAGGGGGTTGCATGGCTGCCATCTTGCAGGCCAGTTCTTTTGTTCCACAGGATATGCACAAATGAGGTATCCCTGTGGAACAAAACAACTGCCCTGCAAGATGGCTACCACGCAAAGCCTCTACACCTACACCGTTTCACTTTGTTTTCCTTTTTTTTCATTCCTGTGTCTGAGTGTGTCCGAATGGGGCTCATTTACCCATTCAAGTGACAATTCATTAGAGTACCATGACAAATCGTCATCGGAAAATCGACTAATTAAGACATTGTTCGAAATAGTTTGTTTCAAAGAACGTGTTGTGCAGCATGAAGATCTTCCTCAAAGTCCGTGCCGAAGCCCATATTCAAAAGGCTGAACTAGCAATAATTAATGCCGCCCTAGAGAACAGATCAAGTAAGCCAAGTAAGTTATACCTTACTAAGCCTGCTTTCCATATCGACTTTAGAAACACAGCGAGCAACGCAATCAAGACACAAACTGCAACGCGGACATACGGAAACATGTCAAACGGAGGCGTCCTCGATAACGCAGACAAACACAAACCAGCCCGCGAACGATCGGCAAAGCTCAGCCGAGTTTCAACTTTGCCGACTGTGTGCGTCAAGTAGCCGTGGTATCCCCATACAAACACGCATGCTGTCATGGCCGGCGTGCAACGATGTCCTCGCTTAGTTTCACAAATTTTGCCCATTGTCTCCTTAATGCTTAAATATTGCACCCCAGTAATCAACTAAATAGATGATGGTTAATGAAATGCATGAAACTGGAGTAGAGGTTTGGCATCATCAGGCGGTACAGTCCATCTAAAGCACATTTTTCGCGAAAAATCACACAGTTTCGGACGCCATTTTGTTTCAATTTTGTCTGGAATGACGTCATGCCCCGTCTCTTCCGTTCGTTTCTGCGTCTTCGCACCTTGCGTTCTGTCTGCGTTATAAAAGACCTTATGGAAACCAGGCTTTACTGTAGTCCATCTCGTACAAAACTAAAATGTTTATGTTGCATGCAATGGTAAATAATATCATGATTACGTGTTCTGTGCGGAATCCATAACCACACACTGTATAACATTTAGCATGGTAAAATCACCGCGTATACAGTATAAAACAATTCGTCAAACGAAAGAGGGTCCATGATCTAGTGTTCCAAATTGGATTATCCATATACCAGTTAAGCATTTTATGTGACAGTTCCAGCGCGCATTGGTGTTCTTTTGGTGGTATTTACGCAAAGCACAGATGATCAGCCCACCATTCGCGGGTGCTGTATGTTGCCACTCCTTCTGTCAGGGTCTAATACTGCTAACCTCACTCGAAGACAGGACGATTCGAGCTTGTGCGGACCATTGCTTTCATGAATAGGGAACAGGGACACCTGAAGGCCCTCCTGCACATTTCACTGGCTCTCGTGTCCCGGTGAAGTTGTGAAGTATTTGTTTGGATTGGCGCGGTATGTTATAAGATCACTTGAAGAAACTGCATCTTACGAAGATGAAACGCATGAAATAGTAACAGTGGAGATTGATATCAAGCACATGATAAGCCAAGGGACAGTACTGTGATCACTGTATACGTATACATAAAGGTACGTGGAAAATTTTGTATGGAAAATGGTACATTTGTGTAATGTAGGCCTGTATCAACCTTAGTTCCATGCCTGCATGGTTTATACTAGTTGTCCACGTGATGAGCCATTCGGATTGAAAACCTCTGTTGCATCTGTGCTGTTAAATTACCGATTCAAAGTGTGAAAAACGCAGCAGCAATGTACATCTTATCAACACCTATAACACCAGCATTGTCAAGATTCTTGTCTAATGGGTTACCGAATAGTACCGAAGTAATTTCAAGTATCACCAGAGCTGTCCAAACGCCCACGCAGTAAACTCTACAAGCTTGCTTGGGTGGGCATTGAACCAACAATACCTGTCTACTCTGCTACCTAGGGATGAGGTCATGGGTGCGAGTCCCTTCAGAGTAAGCTTGTTAAAGTTTTTCTTAAATAAAATATACTCGGGATATGGGTGCGTGTGAGAACACTCAATGGAACGATAAAAAAAAACAATCTTATATCTCGAGTATTGACCGCAGATTTTTCAGGTATGCATGCATGGAGATCAATTGTACTAATGAGTCTGCGCTCAGAAGTACTTAAGAAGTTATTTCTGGACACTTGGTGGCAGCACAAAGGACAGACTCTTGGGCAGCCCCCAAGAGTTAGGCACTGTGATTGCAATGCAGTCATTTAAGTCGCAGGTGAAACTTGCATACCACCCATGTTCCATTATTAACAATGAAGAAATACTTCGAAGCTGCCACGTCGACGGGGTTTTCAACAGTTCCAGCTTTTGCATCCGGAGAGTTCAAGTACATTATTGCAGGCTATAAATAAAATTTATCTTGGACCATCTTTTCAGGTTTTGATGTGTTTCGGCCTACTGCAACAGCAAAGCATGCGCCTTCGTAGTCTTACAAGGCTGCTTTGACGATGAATGGAGGTCACCTGGGTAAGTTCATCTGTGAAGAAACCAAACAAGAGGAAATGTCGCTTAATATTGTTTGAAACGAATAACATGGATATCATTTGGAGTCCCTTTACCCAGGACATAAGCGCTCAGGAACCCAAATGGCCAAAAATGATGATTCAAAGCTACGTTGGGAGACAAAGGTATACGTGTTAGAGATTGTTTCAGCATTATTTTCTTCACTCCACGGGGCAATGAAACTGTAAGCAAACAATAAACACCAGTGGGAAAGAGTGAATACCTCTCTCAAAAAGGCCCCTAATAAATCCACCTAAAAGAGTGAAACCCACTCCAAAAGAGTAAATTAGATTCCCACACATCCAAGGAGCCACATAAGGGAAACATTAAAAAAGAATTATCCCTCATTGGCTCCAATTTCGGAGTGATTTTCACTCTTTTGGAGTCTGTGGCTTTCACTCTTTTGGAGTGGATTTATGAAGGACTCGTTCTTTTTGAGAGTGACTTTTGCACTCTTGTTTTCAGGGGGTGTTGATGTAAAGAGGAAACCTCCGCAATTAAGTGGAAACACGGGACAAGTGACACATGCAGAGCGGAGTAACCAAAGTTTTATTTGCCTTTTGCCAAAGAAATACCCTTTCAACCACTTTTATAGTCTTGATTTTGCTACTATCGACAACCCGGCTTTTCTTTGAAAATTTTCAATACTACCGGTATGCAATCTGCCCCTTTGGATATGCTCTCCTTCCTACGTTTTTAGGGCTGTGCGTGGCCATTTTGGTTTTAATTTATCTTGGGCCAAGATTCAACGGTCAACAATTTACAGTTGAAGGCCGATGAATGTAGTTTCACATATTGGTTTGTTTTAAAACAGCGAAAGACCTTGAAGCCGAGGACTTGCATTTGGGTTTTTACGTCAGCACTCTTGAATGTATTACCTTTTTATCTCAATGCTCAGAATGTTTGGTGATGTAAAAATGCTTTTAATGCAATCTTGTGCTGACATTTAAAGCTCCTTTATGCGTGTCACTGGAATGCATTACATCTGCGCCTGCCTTCAAGCGTCAGGAAACACCACAGAGAAAATACACCGCACCAAGCAACGACGTTTACACAATTAAGTACAGCAATACAATTGATATCTTCTATCTTCCCGTGCATTGTAATAAATAAACAAACACACTGAGTGAAGGTCCTTTGAAATTCGACCCAAACGACTAATGTTTAGACGGGCATTGATGATGCGAGTATTCCCCTGTTCACAGAGTCCCCTGAGCATTCCAGCTTCACGTGTAGCTTATTCGTGGCATTTGTAAAATGTTCAGCCGATGTCATTGGGACTTCTATCCCAACTTTATGCACATCCGGTTGCCAAGGTAACGGCAGGAAACCACTCTATACCGCTTCGTCTGAAAAAAAGCCCGCGCGGCGAAGTCTGGGCGATCGTGTTCCTTCATCGTGTAGCAAGAGCAGATGTATTATGGAGATCGTGTCGTCATGTTTGCAAGGATTACAACATATGCAGTGCATTTTGGAAGCTTCTACACGAATTCCAAATGCATCAGTGGGGAACGTTTAGAGACAGAAAGCAAGATATTCCAGGAGCGAAATCTTTCACGTTTGACTGAATTGAATTTTGGGACACCTCTCGTGTTTTTTGCAAACATGTATTCTCTATTTTCATTGCAAAGTCATTAAAGCTATCTAAAACCGCAAGTGAAGTCATTTGATTTCTTACAACTCTCTGCGAAAGTTTAGTTTTTTTCTCCAAAAGAAGATTAAAGAACACAGTGTTGAGAACTCCCTTTTCAAACAACTTTTCAATTTCCACGTTTTTTAAAATGAAACAGCAAAATCATGCAGATTCCTAGTTCAAAATGAGATACATGTTATATGTTTGGCCTCCCAAGTGGAACTTGTCAAGTGCATATTGACCAAACAAAGTGCAGCTTCATAGTCCCACGAGCCAACGACATGCAATTCCCCGTTTTACTCGCGGTTCTTTTTTGCAAAACCTTTATTTTTTCAATTTTCGTGCACTTGTTTTGGATAATGTGGGCCCTACAAATTAACAAACCTGGGGTATACTTCTGAAATTTCACTTGAGAATGCTCTGAAAATGCACCAGAGAACGGGAAGACATTATAAATTTAAATTTCAAATCCTTTTATACCTTTGTAATAATCTCCCCATAGACATCTTGGAATGAACAGAAAAAACCTTTTCTTAGCTTGTTATAGTTGAGCTCTAAAGACAAACGACACTGCGTTCGATTCGGATGCTTCCACATTTATTTGAACAGATAAAATCACAGAAAACATGTTTCCTTTAGAGGTACTCTATAAATACAGCCTTGTAGTTTGAAATATAATGAGGGGAAAATACATCAAATCCCAACAGGAATTTACATGCCTTGTTTCCAAAAAGAATTAGAACTATTGCAGAAATTTAATACAGGCTCTCGAGGGCGCACTGTAACCTTTAAGTACGAGACAAATGTCGCACAGTGGTGATGAGGCTCTTTTCGTGTTACTTTGTCATGACTCTCATTTCCTGACGACACTGCACTTAGTAAAATGAGCCGAGGCCTGCTTAAAATAGATAAGGGTTTAGGTCCTCTTAAAGGAAATTGGAAATTGAAAGTGGAGGACGAATGGAATAACCTTTACACTCTTTCCTTTAATGCATCTTAACTACCATCACTCGTTCATTATTTTGGTCCCCCCATAGATATTTTATTAACAGACCACACAGAACAAGTCTTCAGGGTTATTTATTCATGCATACAAACGTTTTTCCCACACACCTCCTCTTGTCTATAACGTATTTTTACTGATGAAAAGTGACAATATGGTTGAACGCGTCCCCAGCGTTATAAATATTCATTTCCTCTCTGCGCATGACTCCCAAATCATCTCAAATCTAAAACTCCCAGATCTCTCAAATGTATTTCAAATTCCGCACTTGTTGTCAGTTTGGGAGACACGGGCACATGAGCTTGCCTAACATAACACCCACTGTTATGAGATCTGATAAATATAATCAGATCATGCTTAAATTGTATGCCTAATAACCATCTGCCAGGACCCAGATTGCTTTGCACGAATCCCAGGATGCAATGCAACGGCAAGTTTCAGCACACAGGGCAATAAAATTTTAATCTTATACCTAAATGTATGGCAATTCGTCCTTTTCAAAATCCATTTTTTCATTACATTTTTATTCACGTGCTTAATTTTTTTTAACCAGTAGTTGGGAAAAACTGATATTTCCTCAAATATTGGAGGCTTTGGCCAGAATGCACAATGTTGCTTACAGTCGGATTGGTGTATTTAGGGAAACATGCGACGTTTGTTGCAATACCACTTGCATTACAACCCTCTCTTTTCCAACCTGAGACAAGAGACACGACGTCAGTGAATTAACACTGGATGACATAGCTTCATCAATGCTTCACACGATGGGCACTTTAACTGGGGTCAAGAGAGCCCTGGAAAGAAATGCATCACGTTATTATTTTCATCGCGAGCGAAATATGATGCCTCCTAGCTCTCATGTCTTCCCGATCTCGAACAAATTTGGCCTGTCTTCTGCGATAAAGGGTGGGCGATGTTGACTTAAACCAAGTCATGAGCAACATTTTGAAGCTGCAAGAGAGCTTCAAGACGGTCCCCCTTTCTTTTAACTGCAGACAGGCAGCTCTGTTGATGTCCTTACGCGACTGCGGTTACTTTCTAAGATGTTTACTCAGTGCATTCATGTGAGATCGCTCGCCTGCCCGCCCATAGCGTGCGTGTATATCTTCCTCATTGTCTGTGTGCATGCCAACCAGGTTACTAATTACTGTATATTTATGCCACAGAGGAAGACCCTGGTCTCAGTTTTCACTGTAGCTTATTCTCTTACCTTTGTGCCTGTTTAATCCCAAAACCAATCCAAAAGGCGAAATAATATGCAGCATACACTGTTAGAAATTCTTATGCCCATTCTCATTAAAATGTTATGTTAATTTAAAGGATTTTATTTTGTACACGTTTATTTGCAGATTCACGAGGACGTTGTTTTCCAACCAAAACAATTGTGTTTGTGGAAAACAAAACAACTTAAACAAGGTTGAGGAGGCTGCCTATAAAGTTGAGGGAAGCTCTTCACGCTCTTCATTGCGAGGTGACATTAACATGTTTATTTTTGTTGAGACTTACTCTCTCATCTGATAGACAGTTGCTAGACTAACGCAACTGGTTTATACATGTATGTGCATTTTATTAAATTACAGTGGTGCCACGCTTGTGCGCAGGTTGATCACATGTTCCCAGCAATTCCATTTGGACCGATGGGCTTTTGCTACTGTCGAAAGTGTAGGTGTTTTAGGAAGCAGCGTAAGAAAAAAAACACGGGTGCAACATGTTTGAGCGTGTGATGAAACCAAAGTAATGCTGCCTTCCGGGAAATATAATTTTAACAGTCTTGTTTATCGTTATTATTGTTATTTTTTTTCTTTGCTTTTCTTTCATGAGTAACTGTCGACAATGTCTCACCTGGTGAGCGTTGCCTAGGGATCATCTCATCCAGATCCACCTCGCTTAACATATGCCGCACCTCCTCCATATCCCTATATGGAAACATAGTTACAATATTCCTTTGTTACAAATGTATACGTTGGTATTTAGAAGCAATCGAACAGAACGCTCTGTCTGTATTAGTTATTTTATCCCACTCACTGATTCCCTTTTCGGGGGGGGGGTAGATTTAATTTAGATTTGCAAATTGTATGTAATTCCTAGAACAAAACACATACAAGTAAAGTACACTGGTACGGCTTTTAGTTTACTGATTGTAATGTCTGTAAATTCCGTTGCTTTTCATCCGTTCTTTGCAGAAAAATAAACAATGTCGTAATCATCTAGCGGGTCACACTTGGTGAAGGTGGCATTTTAATATATGTTACCAGAAAAGCTACCAGTAAAGATGCATCTGCTCCCTCTATGTTAACGCACTGGCAGAGATTACCGCATCCTTGCTTGTCCGTTAATAACATAGAGAGGATGCATAACGACCTCTACGTTTCTTGTTCATTGATGACGTCCAGACATTCTTATGTAGTCATTCCATACAGTGCTGTACTCAGCCATACACGCCGGCGGTCACTAAATAAACACCGCGCGGGGAGTAAATCATACACAATGTCAAGATCAATATCAATGCTGCTCAGATCGATGGGTTTGAGCGTGTGGATACATTGCGTTCGTGCGTTGCTATAATGAGGCGCAACCACTCCGATTTGGATATTCCCGTCTGGTTCATGTTGCCATCGTTGTCACGAACTGCGTACGGACCCTTCCTGGCTCGTGACCCAGCAACCGTAACTTCGTCAGTCGTTTACTTTTTGTGAGGCCCACTGCATTGGAAAAGAACTGGCGCCTTCGACAATCAGCTTATTTATTTATCAGTATTTATTTTTTACTTCTGGACTGTACCGCTGTCCTTGGTTTATGCAAGTAATGGGTCGATTCCCGTAAATTATGCAGATGTTGGCGGCAATCTCAAGTACGGGCTCTCGTTTTTTACTTGGGTAGCGAGTGGCTTCATGCGTCTGCATATAGCACGCATGGGGTAAGCATATTAAGTGGGACCTTTCTGGAAGGTTTGTGATTCCGCTCCAAGAAATTATGCGAGGACGGCAAATCAGAATGATACCAAGATAGAATGGCCTTCTTCCTCTTAGATTACACATAATACCCCCCCCCCGCATAATTCTTGTCTGACCGTTTTGAGCCTTCAGACGGGCGACTGCTCACGCTTCGCTCACATTTTGACAACAGATTTATTTTACGTTTTCGATGATATAAGAAATTTGCCAACTAACTTGCAGGGCCAACAGACCTTATTCACTTAGAAGCCATTTTCACTTGTTTTCCCTAAATATACAACATTCAATGACGGGGGCAGTGCCAGACTACTCTGGATACCAGCCAAGGTTCATTTGAATTTATATTTTTAAATGTGGCTTGAAACATTTGGATACAATTTATCACATATTCTAAATTATTCTTGTTTTGTTTTAATTTTGTTGCTTTTAATTTCACTCTCAGGTTCTGAATATGAAGATGGCTAACACAACAGTCTTTCATTTGATTGGCTAAAATGCAGCATGTGCACAGTATCAGTGTATCTGATTACAAAACATGGATTATCCAGATAAGTGTGACGTACTTTTTAAAGGCTGGTCAAATATCTCAGACATTATAAAGGGGCACTTTTTATTCGACCTTGCATGGTTTGCGAGAAGGTAAAAGGGTGAAAAGAGCGCAAACTTACGGTGTTCTATAACTCGTCGTGTGCCTAGAAGGACGTAAGCGCTTGTGCCCTTTTGCCGGGAAGCATGATCACTACAAAAACACTTTTCCCGGCAAATGGACGTATTCATGCAACTGTTTTATTTAAATGAAATATAAAAGTTAAAACAAATTCCCAAGTCGTTTTTTATAAGTTTTTCAAAGTTTGTTTTTTGTACAGCCTGTGTTGATTTTGTTGTAAATTTTATCAATTTTACTAAATAAAGAGAGTGTGTTTCTTATGCCCTTTCGCCGGGAACATTTTATCTGCTGTGATCATGCTTCCCGGCAAAAGGACGTGAGCGCTTACGACCTTTTGCCGGCAGGGCACATGACAAACGACAATGTCTTCGTCCATTTCGCATTTAGCATGCAGCTATTGAGTTTGTTCCTTATGAGCTAGTGCACTAAACTTATTCTAGTCCTTAGACCAAGGTTATTAAATAACACCTTATTTCTAATTACGTGGATATTCGTTAATTTACAGGTAGGGTATACGATCATTTTGTTCTTTGTTCCCATGGTAACGATTACTTATTTTTACCACAAACGCACAATCACAAGCACATTATACACAGGTACGGTGTTGTGGTTTTGTTCTTTGTACTGTAATAGCAGTTAGGTACTTTTAACATGGACAGTCGTTAGCATATCACTGAGGTAAGGTGCGGTAAATGTGTTCTTTGCACCAAAAAAAGCGATTACATACTTAGCAATAAGTTGAAGATCCTCTGACGTGGCCATTGGTCCATCCAGAATGACCGATTCCTCCAGCTGGTCAGAGATCTCCGACACAGTCAGCTCTCGGCCCTTGTGGCTCCCACCCCGCCGGTCGTGGGAGGGGCCAGCTATCTCCATCATCATCACCATACCTGGGAGGTTTTCATACGGATGGCCTGACGATAAATGTGGCCCACAAGAAGGTATAAAAAAAGAAACCGGCAAAAGGGAATAAACAACATGCGCGGGAATTTTTGTATGGATCCATGCGATGGTATCATGCACACATAAAATGCAGATGAAAGATGAAGAATCATCACTCTTGGCCAGGGTAGCTACTTTAAAGCGGCAGAATCGTTTCCGTTGCGTGCGAGAATATGCGTTTCCAGATCACGTTTACACAATTTAATTGAACATTTAAAGGTAAACAGACAAATCCAACTTATCAATATTTTGTTCAAACTACCAAACACAATTTATACGTAAATATTTGTCAATACGCAACGTATTGATTGTAACATCTAACCAAAAAAATATGATTGTGGTAATTATTCGATTTATTGATTTTTAAGTACCAATGAAACCACAAAACGTGTAAGTAGCAAGCAACAGTGTGCCCTTTCCATTAGTATAACAAAAATGAGCAAGTTCGGTTTTCCAACAGCGCATGCCAAAACTAAGCGCGCCTTAGGTCATCGCGAACGGCAATACGTGAGCACGGGGTCTGCCCATTAGCTCAACCTGTGCCAACAGCGTGCTTTGTTGTCGACCGACCTTGCCTTTTGGAATACCGAACTGTTTCGTTGCTTCTGCAATGCCACGAGCAAATAAAAACCACAGGACTTCTTTAATGATGGGTAAACAAAAGCTGAAAAACGATCGCAGACAGAAATCCAACCAAAAAAAGGCATATGCACTACTTTGAATGACAATTTTTCATACAAGGTTTTTGCAAAACAAACGATTCAAACTACATTATATCCTCTTTAATGCAAACGTCTTCCTACTCTACAATAACACAACAATACCATGAATTTCATGTATATTTGTTATAAGCCTCACATATTGTAACCATTCTTGATTGCCATGATTGCTAATGTCAGCCAATATTTACCATACAAGCAATTCAAACGCAAAAGATTTTGTGCACACAATGCAGCTGTCTACATATACCCGTAGGAAGTAGATTACTGTAAAGATGGGGCGAAAAATTCTCCGATCCCGAGTTCCACATGCCTGAGTACAATTTTCGCTCAACTGCAGTCATCAGAGAACGCATTTTCTCACCTTATTCTGTTGTCTCATAACTGGGAATAATTTCTTCGCAATTACCATTATATCCAATACCCGATTTTGTGTACGCATTCGTGGTACCGTTATAGACGGAGTAATTAAACAGAAAAGAAGGGGTTTGCCTAGCCAATACTTTACACCAGTAGTGTAGCTAAAGAGGATGCAGGATGGCAGAATGCAACGCGATAGAGAATCTAAGAGGGAGACTGCGACGCTGATAGAAGCAATATAGGGCCGTCAATTGGATCATTAATGAAAATGTAGGTGAAAATATACAGTAAATGTATTGAATACTGAGATAAAACATATTCCCAAATCGATATAATCTTACAGTGCTTTGCAAGCCGGGATCCATTAGTTGATCTTGGTGGGGCATAATTTTAATTTGCAACGGAAACACGCTGCCTACACGCCTGCCTTAAACTTCACCTTTGATCACGTTTTGTGTTTCCTTTTCCGTGGTATTGGCGTTGGCCGCTGTACACCAATTTATGGTCAGACAAAAAGTGTGATTTTAGTAGCAACCCTTTATGCGGAGTGGGTATGCGGTGGACTCTAAACTGAAGCCTACCCTAGTTGACCTTAATTAAAGGACTACCATTCAAGAATTCGGTAATTAGGAGCGAATTCCCAATATCGAACGCCACCAAGAGGCTTCCACGGGGATCCAGTTTTTCACTGCGCAGGGATATTGTGATTGTTTACATAAATTGTTTGTGAATACTGATTGGTGTAAAATGCAGTAGAAAATTGAAGCTGAAAGATGTCTTGTCGGTCACGTACATTTTCGCGACATGAAGACATCACCGTCCATATTTCCTCCTTTCTTAACTTGACAAACACATTATCCAACTAATTCTCAAACATCATTCGAGAACCGAGTTTTTAGCATTGTATTAACGGTGTTATTGATGTATGAAAGGGTATGAATTAGGACTTTATCCATTACACATGCTGTCAACGTGTTTTATATACACAGACGATTTGATGACGAACATGGTAACATTAATCCTCTCCATGTTACATTTTTCTTTATTTTTGTAAGTATACAATTACGCTCAGTGTTCCAAGGTATACGCATTTTTCAAAATCAAGCTATAAGGCCAGCTCGCACTTCAGGCAAATGCGAAAGTGCACCAGTATGATGTCACGAAACGCTTGCAGCGTTATTCCGAATTCGCTTAGCCTAGTTCAAATGTATTCACCTTTTGCAAAATTGCAGCTCAAGTGTTTGATTAGTGTTGCAAAATCGCGTTTGTATTCACTTTCGTGCCGATTATGAATTGGCCTTCATGTGTTGTTATGACTATTACACCGTCCACTCAACTACCGTGAATCTGAAAACCAGTTTGACTTACCAACATGATCAATGGGAAATGCTGAGAGGAGTACCAAGGATTTCCGCATCTCTGCTATAAACAGATGCATGCAGCCGGTCAACTGTATGAAAAGACGTTGGAAGTCTGGCTTTGTAAGCCTCCTGGGTAAAACCAACAAGAAAAGATGTCAGGAATCAGACCAGTCCATTGACCCCCCCCTGGTATTATTTAATGCTATGGTTTTTAAACAGGAAAGCTCATTGGTATAGTAAGTTACTCAAGTAAGATATTGCAACGGGGTATCGGGAATGGTGCAGATGTACAGGATATGTGTGTGACTGGAAACTTTTTGTCACCAATTCTGTGCGGTTATTTTTCAGACACCTTGCAAGGTGTGTACTTTCTGGAAGTGATATGTACACTTTATATACTGCGTCAGATAAAACAACAACGTAGAATGGAGATTTAAGGCCAAATTAAAACAGTTTTTTATTTGGTAACATACGATGTCCAAAAACTGCCAAATGTACATCGACTGGAATCCTGCTACTGCGTAATTTTAACGTGTTTTAGATGGGGGTACAGTTGAGCAATAGGCACAGTAAAGGAGTCCTTCTAGGCTCCCATACATTACGCCGGGCACTCTTTTTCAGATGACGTCATTTCTGTATTGCCGTAACATTTACTTCTGGGAACCACATAAACGAGGTGGTCTTATATCCTGTGTACAGCTACCAGCTGGAAAAGCTTTAAAACAGTAAATACTGAGTGGTCAGTCTATTTCAGTGTTGGTAGTTCAAGCACATGTACGTGCACATTATTTGTAGGGCAAAAAACAAGCAGCGTTGGCGCACCAATTTTGGATCCAGCCCCTGACCTGAAACCGGAGCCTTTGGGGGGCCTAAGGAGCTAATTTTCCCGATGTGCAAATACATCCCGCTCGCGTATACAATTTCCACTGGTCTCTTTTATGGCTCACGCAGGCGCACCATGTCAGATGCTGTTCGACGAGTTCTCGTAACATACATAAAGGTCAAACAAAAACCACTTTTCAACTGCTCCTCGAAATGTTTTGTCCGCGGGATGAAACATCATCTCTCACAGACGTAAAGCAGTAAGAGAAAACGAGTCTCGAGGACTAAGTGCGCTATGTGTGGATTACCGGATTTTCTTCCGCGCACTGTCTCGATCAAACCAAGACCATGGCCCTTTGCTCTATGATCGAACCGCGCTAAGAGGGGCCGCTCGACGCGTGTTTATGCATCCTCGGGCTATTCCCGCAGTGCATACACACAAATCAGATTACTCGCCGTCCAACGCTAGAAAGCCGACACAGCGTCTTTATGTGGAACGGTGGGCGCCTGCAGGCTAACGCTGAGGCCAAGCCGAGTAAAAAATACATGATGAGAGAGCGTCATTAACACCACTCTTCTGCAAACAGCTCAAAATGACATTTTGGATAATCAGATCACGTTTGCGATTTCCATTGTCGAGAGCAAACAGTGCGTCTACGTCTGTAGCTTAAGGGAAACGCCTTATCGTCTGTGGCAACAGCTTGGAGATTTATTTACTTTTCTCGTGGCCACAGAGACTGTACGCTGAATTATCTATAAATGGGAGAGGTTTTTACAAAATGAATTGCAGAAAACTGCTCAATTCAGACAAAGTGGTCGATTCCTTCGAAGTGCATCACCCTTTACATTTTGATATGTCTACTGTCTTTCATTTTGAAAGACACTAATTATTTTCAGACATATTAAGAATCCCTTTAATGTTGCAATTGGCTTAACAAGAATGATTAGGATGTCCAGCAAATCATAACTGAACCAAATCATTCCTGGGGTCTGTATGTCACGCATCAGAGATCAATGTAGAATCGAAATCAATTTGTGAGAAAATTGAATTAATACCGAGTCACACATTTGCGCTAAGCGTATTTCCGATGGCGCTAAAAACATTGTTAATCAAGCTATAAAGCACACAGCAAAAAACAAACAAACAAACAAAACCACCAAGTAAAAAAAAAAACAAGCAAAGCACCACGAGAGCATGCAGTGTAGCTCGGCAGCTCATAATATCTTCTGGTTATGTAGTCAGCACTCGTAAAACGGAATAAACAGCTTGGCCAAATTTCCGCTTGATTACTTATACCTTCCATTACTTAATACTAAATCTATACTCATATGCCTACCTTCATGCCTCTGCTGTCACACGAGGCACTGCAGCCCTGTTTCTGTATAACAGTGTAGCCAACTGTCAGGGGAATTTTGACAGGGTTGTCGATTAAAGCTACAACCAAACTTGACTTCCCCGGGGCCCGAGTCATCACCTATATTCCTGGGGTTGAAATCACTGAGCTAACGTGTCAGATTTGTGAAATATGCCCAAATCGAAATGCCTGGTGAGAGCTTAGTCTTGTGATTCGTGCTGCAATATTCACACTACCTCATTCCCGTGCCAAAACGCATGCAATCGCAATATTTTGCTTTTATTCAAAATATCTGCCAATTTTTCTTTTACATTTTGAACGTAATTCCAGTAACTCCATGATTTTCTCAAGGCTAAATTGTCTGGAGTTACCTCGCCGTAGAAGATATATCGATTCTACTTTATTTCGGCCTTCGCTTAATGAACTGTAGCATAAATTTTGGACTAGAGTTCGCCAGGGGTAAGAGTTCAGGTGATGAGATAAGCTTGTCTATATATCCTAATTTCATGTGACTCCTGAATACAGGCTATACTGTGTGCACTGCTTTACGTACTCATACGTTCCAATACATGCACAGACAAATTGTGTTGCATTGAATAGGATAAAACGTGCTACAGAATATTTCCATACTTCATTCCTTCTTAAGGCGCCGAAAGCCACCCAAAAAATTGTAAGATTATCTCTGTTGAGATGGGAGTTGCCGATATGTGCCGTCGGTGACAAAGCCTCTATGCCGATGCATGAATTAAAGTGCTACACTGCAGCTGAGAATGAAGGTAAGAATGGATCCCATTTAAATCTCACTATGCCCCAACTCACTACCGAAAATAACATTGCAAAGAGACGAAAAGTAGCCGTTTAGCAGACTCAATTCTATCATGGTAACATCATACCTTTAAAAACAAAGAATATTAATTTTCATCTGGATTGAAGAAATATTAGTAGAAAAGCCTCGATCAAACAAATTCAGAAGAGTTTGGAGCACAACGGACAATTTGGATTTTATTACTTAAAGTAGTTAGCAAAATTGAAGTTGTTACCTCGTTTACGATGAACTCGATTTAAGTTTCTGAGTGTTTTTACAGCACTGTTTTCTAGCTGATGGGGGAACCAAAAGAAACTGTTTATTTTTCAAAATTTTATCTCTGTACAAAAACCTTCCCACTATTTTTAGACAAATATTTGATGTATCTCTTGATGATAAACAGATGAGAGAAGAATACACTGTAAAATGGTAAATTCGCCAAAATTTGCTTGAGATTGGTCTTTATAACTACAGTTAAAACAATTTACTAATTTGGCCGAAATGGTTCTGCAGTCTTTTCCCAACCTACCATACTCTGATGGCGCCATATTACAATTTTGATAGAAGTAGGGGGATTTCGGGAACGAATTGGATAAAGAAAGAAAAATGTGTCCATTGTAGTGGAAATGTTGTGCACAAAGGATCAACGTATTCGTTTATGTGTACACAACCAGAACCCCTTTCAATTACTGTTCATTTTATTTGAAACAAATGCCACAGCGACACCTGTTTCAATTACTGTAAATCAGTTAACACCAAGCTGCACACTGAATCAGTATTTTACCCAAAAAAATGCAAAAAGAATTTCTAATACGTTTAAATTGTTCTCAGATGCTGTGTGATAGAAAGCACAAATTTTGGTAACTTTACGTTTTCAGCTGTTGTTATGGTACCCATTTAGCTATGATGGCCTGGCCTGGTGTCAAATATTACAATCACCTTTAAAACAAAGCAAGACATTTACTCAGCACTGTGCATTATTTTCAACATTCATACCTATTCTGTACAGAGATGGGGCGTGTTAAATAACTCAACGATCTTTGCAATTTATGTAGGAATCAACGAAATGTACGTCGTTGTGATATCCAATTTCTGTTTTACTTTATCAAAAGGCCTAACATTTCAAACAAATATAGGCCACTTGCTATTTTCCAAAATATTTTTACATTGGCACTTTTAAAATGAAATTTATCGCCCCAATTCCAAACGAACTCATCATTAGGGCAACAAGGTCAACTTCAGCACCAAAGTCTATCCATTCCCAAATAATATACTGAAATGCACTCAGCAGTGGTCCTGATGTTTTTCACCGACGCCAATCTCACGACCTTAACTGAAGCACCTTGCATAATTTAGGGCCCCACGTCATGCAACATTTCCCAGGACTCAGCTACATCTGCCCAACGCGGCCAGACATCAAAGTCCTCCATCGAGTGGTATCTTTAATCATAAATGCACATTCTCCTAACGAGAGATTACACTTCACGAAGCTGCCGGATGCACACCCTGGTGGACTGAAGGAATGGACACCAACGCGCAGGATCTCTCGAAATGAATTCTCCATGCAGCGGTGGAAAGTCATATGCTTTTTTCATAAAAATACACGCACATTTTTCCCTAAAGCAGCCAGGTGCTTTTAATTAATGTCTCATACATAACAAATGAGACACAGACGTCGTGTAACGTTAGCTCGCTCCCTGTAGCGTACGCCCTTGCCTTTTTTTTTATTTGACTGCCCAGCTCGTCAGTTTTTCTATCATTGTTATAGCCTCAGTCGCTCAGGTTTCATCTTTTATCCTGCTCAGTGACATTATTTGTGATCACAATAGGCCTGCTTTGAAAAAAAATTAATAGTATTGTGAAGCCGCGGGTTGCCATGATAAGTAGGCCTAGTCAGTTCATCACGCTGCATCTCGTTGCTTTCACGAATAGAAGCATGTCAGTGCATACGATACCGTAGCATGGTCAGTACATTTTTATGCAACCTGCACGCCGAGGATTTCATGTAATCATGTCCTGCCACCGTTAACCGTTAAAGTCATCAGAGGTTTTTGCGTACAGTGTCTGCTCTTTCTATTTCACAGTCGTATATTTGCCAACTAGTGGCCTCCAAAACTAAGGCCAGCCGTCAGCATAAAAGAAAGAATAATCCAGTAAGTGTTCAAAAATCTTACGCAGCTGTCAGAACACCCAATATTCACTGCTGCTTACATAGTTTTTATTTGGTAATCCTATAAACGCAGGAATTTTCAACCATAATAAGTCTCGCTCGTATGTTCGAGGTTTTACCTCCTTTGGGGGCCCCGGACCCCTTCCTATAGGTGATCTACGCCCCCTTTCATTGGTGCAGGAAGCCTGGAGCCCCCACTGATATATTGCCCCTTCACCAAAGATTATTGGTTTGTTTGTCTTCCTACTTGCCTGCCTGTTTTATTATTACATTATAAAAGCCAGGGAACGATGGTTGTGATCCCCCCCCCCATTTCCATAGTTACCATGCACGATAACCGCTTTGATCCAGTCACCAAGTACGTCAGAAGTCTGAATGCACACTGTTAAATGCTGCGCAATGCGCAGTGGGTGATCAGGTATAATTTTGATACAAAATGAGGGGAGGGCGCCCAGCATCTATTGAACTGGGGTAGTAAAATGGTGATGGGAACACAGTGTAGGCAATTCATAGTTTCTGTCTTTGAAACTTTTCTAATAATAACCAGTTTAGAGCGGAAGGAAACAACAAAAGAAAAGGTGGTCTCCCTAAGAAATCCAGAAAGAAGGGTGTGCGTGAGTTAACGCCCCCTTCCCTTGGATCTGCTTCTGCTACGGACATCAAAAACGGTTTACGTCAAATTGAATAGGTAGGCCGACACCATTTCAGCGAATGTGGAATGGCTAAATTTTTCAAACATCTGAATGCTGGCCGCACTTGACTGTAAAGATAGCGCTTGCAGCCATTTTGAAACTAGTGTGTTATCCGCCTTGAGCAGAAGCACCCCTCATCTGTTGAAAACAGCCATTTTGGTGGGAAGTATTCATTTCGTTGGTAGCCACGCCACTGCGACGCATGCATTTCATAGTCATTCGTTTCACAGCTAGCGAAGTGCAGTTCCCCCCAAAAGAGCATTCGTTTGATAGGAAAAATGCGCCCTCTCTTGGTTCCGCTTGGGGACCACTGCGGGCTGCAACCAAATAATTTGGACACAACCCATTGCTCATAGTTGGTGCACGCCGTACAGAAATCTTCTCAGTCTGATGCTGGCCTATTGAATGGATGCAGGTATAAACATAACCCACGGTTATACATGTACCAGCTTATCCACCCCGAGCGGAACCTAGAGAGGGTGCAATTCCCTTAGCAACAGGGGCTTCTTTGGTGGGAATTTCACTTCACTGGTTCACGAACGACTAGCCTGCCCTGCGGTCGCATCGCTACTAATAGAATGAACGTTCCCCACCAACATGGATCTTTTTAACTAATGAGGGGGTGCTTCTGCTCAGGGCGGATGCACATGCAAGCATCCAATCATATCGGACTCCGACTTCTGAATAGTATTTATTTGGAAAGAGGACACCTTTAAGGTGCTGTCCCGAGAAACACGCAAGATCAATGCAAGGACACTGTGCAGCGCTTTCTTGGGCGTATAATAATGTTGATAAATTTTTGGTCCTTCAATAAATATTGTGTAGAAAGAAGGGTTGGTTTTGATAAGCTCTTCTGATCCAGGAAAATCCCTGGCCACTACTTCTAAAAGGATTAAGGTGGATTTTAAAATGGTTAGAACGCAAACAAAAACACAACACATTTTATAGAGACGGATGGCCAGGTCTATCTGTCGTCAATGGCAGGAGGCGATAGGTTAAGAAGACGTTTAAAACTCCGTGAGTGAACCGGTCTTTTAACAGACTCCTTGCATTAGATTATTACACCCCTCAAGATGTCAAGGGAGAGCAATCAAATCTCTTATTGTAATTTCGCTAAGTACAGTAGAACACTCACCGGATTCACCGTGATTCAGCCATCATTCCTGTGCTCACGAAGTGCTGAAATCTCACTCTTTTTCAAGTTTCGGGTTTATTAAAATCATGAGTTTATAGTGACATCTCTGAATTTTTTTCAAATTATAATGAGACATTTTACCTTTTACGTCTTTACAAAATACAAAGTAGCTTGTCCCCTTGAAGTGATAAATTTATCTTTTTTCACACGAATTGAAGACAAGACAGAGGTGGAGCTCACACGTGTGCTATGACAGCCTATAGAATGCGGCAATTATTCATATTCGATTCTGCGGCGTGAAAACAGTGAATTCTCAGATATGTTTGCACAAATTAGATGGAAGAAAAATATTAAACTGAAGAATTAATTCGAGTTTGATGTGTCAAAGCAAAGGGCAAAATAGCAGTGGTTTTCACACTGTGTTGATAGTCCCATGTAGTGCAAAGGCCTCGTCAATTTAGAGCTAACAATGCTAGGACCGTCATTTATATAAGCAGAATTAATGACTGATCACTGACCAAAGTCTAAGGTATTGGATAATTTGAAAACTGCCCGGCAACTTTACGAAAGCAAACAGTTCGATAACGTGACTGAAGGATAACTATTAACTTAACACATGATTACTCCTCAAGATGAGCAAGGCCACGGCTCATGCACGCCTAAACTATATACCTCGATGCACAAGATATGTCACGAAGCAAGCATTGGATAAACAATCATTTGTAAAAAAAAAACTTGCTATAGGCTATATTTGAGAACTCAAGGAGATGTACTGTACCTACCCACGCATGTGTGGAAACAGCTTATACTTTGCGTTCCTGGCAGCATCCAGACCCTTTCTGCGCTTGCGCCGTATATCCTCCCGGAAGTGCAAGGAGTCGCTTACGTCGGCGATGCCAATTAACTTCTCGCGGTATTGGGCAACTCTGGTGTTAAAGTCTCGAACAAGCTGCGAGAAGTAAGCACAGACACAAACATCTGAATACTGAGAATCATGATGCGGCTCCTGGTTCAGAAAGACAATAAGATTCGTCACAGCAACTTTATCACTAAAGCTTCCAATACCAAAGGATCAAAGTTCAGTTATCCCAGCGGAACGAGTTTCAAAGTGGGAAGGGAGCAGTTGTGGGACCATCACACATCCGCCATTAAAAAGCCCGATCCATTGAGCCTGCCCCCACTATAAGACCAAATGTGGGGGCCGTGTCCCAGTAAAAAAAAGTGGGGGGGGGCCACCCTGCCCCCTCACTTCTACCGCCTGTGCCCCTCCCCTGGTAGCGCCACAGAGGACTGGGATAACGGCTACATCAGAGTTTGTGGTACTCAATGGTGAAATTAGTCTGTAGGCGCCTGAACCTGCTCCAATTAAGTTGACCTTTGCCACCCCACAAACGTTTCGGCTATCCTACCATCCAAACAAATTGTTTTAACCTGCTTGAATGCGTCTAACGGGTTGGAATCTCTAACGTTACTGATGGGCAGAGCTCAGTGCACTAAGCTATATACCATAGGGTTGTTGTTTAGCTCAAGTCGGCAATGGTCCTAACAAAACTATTTAAAGAGAGGTTTGCGACATGAATGTCTCAAATGTTGCAACCAACATGGTCGGTTATGCATCAGTGGACTTGGATAGTTAGCACACGATAGCTGCATGCCGTACTGCAAACAAAATGAACAGCCATGTTGGCTCCAAAGTCTGGCGTTGACGCTACTCTCTTTTTATACAACTCTGGTGAAAACTGTTGCTGCTTCGATCCAAACTATGGTACTGATTGGCCAGTCCAAAGATGTTGATCGTCCAACTGTACGCTTAGGAGTGCCCTAGGTGACTGTTTTGTAGCTTGGACCAATGTAGCGTCATATTGCAAGCTAAATCTATTCTTACGTATTGTTTCCAAGAAACCTATGCTATAAATTGGTGTTTCAAATTAGTTTTGAGAAACTCTAGCTGTGCGATCACTGCTTTATTTTTACAGTTAGATGCTACTATAACATTACTAAATGGGTACCATTAAGTGCGTTTCAAGTGCATTTGATTCAGTTATAGTGTGTACATACAAAAGGTACCGCATTTTCGGTATTGAAAATTTTCATTGAATGTGACAAGCCGAGAAGTTACGTCGATGTAAACCCTCTCACGTTTCTTTCAAACTCAATTTTCCTTGGCTTCTTCATACGTAAATATTTCTGCATCATTTGAATTATTGTAGGCCTACAGGCTTTGTGCAATGAATTTGTCTTAGACTCTTATGAGAACTGTTTGAGATCTCTTTGGGGGTTAAGCGTATGGAAAGTGCACTCTTCAAGTATCCACAATTATCAAGCTTTTCCGGACAAGTGCGAGTGCTGTTGCTGTAATGTAAATCAGGGAAGACACTGTTCAGTTTGTACGTTTCCACGAATACATTTTGAACCCGAAACTTGCTCTTTCCAACATTTCGATTGCTCGTTGGTTACACAACAATAAACTGCCAAATAAACGGATATTTAAGACGGCAAAATATATATTTTAAAAAATCCAACATTTTTTTCATCAAAGCAACATTGATGTTCTGTGCCTGGTATGACCACACATTTTTTCTCATGAATATAGAAATCTACGCATCATATTAATATCAAAAGGCTCCAAGTAACGATTAACATAGCAAACCAGCAAATGAAAATTACAGGAACCAGGAAATGAATTTTCTTAGAATTATTTTTTGTGTATCGCTGTACTCTTCTTCCACGTATGAAGACTGTTGGACATCTTTTTGAGTTACGTGAACTGGACGGTGCAGTTTTTCCAACATTTAAAAATTGACCAAGCATTTCTGGACAAGGGCGCTTTTGCTTTGATGTAAATTCAGGAAGACAAAGCTCAGGTTGCATGTTTTCATGTTCAAATTGTGATTCCCAAAATTTGCTGTCTATATAGGAACATTTCCGTGCAAAGGTTTTCTGCTGGATTATTGCCATATTCTTACACAGCAATATATTGCTAAAGAAAATAAAATCTGCCATAGCAGTGGTTAAAAAAATCTAGAAACTTTCCGTGCACAAATCAGTGCAACATTGAGATCCAGTGCCTTGGATGACATCGTAGTTCTTCTCATGAATATGCAAATAATACATAAGCATAAACAAAAAAAATCACAATATGGATTGAAATTGCAAAACAAAAATTTAAAATCAAGTTAACTGAAACCCAAAGATGCAATTTTTAGTAAAATTTCCAGGTTTCTTTAAGTTAAATTAAACACAAAGCTGAAATTTAGAGGGAGGGTTGTTGGAAAAACATTTTGTGTTGCGTGGTGCCTTTAATCAACGCGTCTCTTTTCGAAACTCCATTTCATTCCAGGAAGTCTCAAGCACGACACTTAATTTTGATTTTTATGCCAAGCCCATGCTTTAAAAGCTTTGTTTACAGACATGCCAAGTATGGGCAGAAATCTCTCCTCGATCGTGGGGGGGGATCTATTTACACTTTTTTGTGCACACCGTGTTTATTATCTTATTCCATTTATAAAAAACTAAAAAGGGAAAATCCTCCATCCATCAATTCCTTCAGTATTTTGTTTTGCTTTAAATATGGAAGGGACATTCGACATTGTTTCCCCCAGTACCAAATTCATGGGGGACGATAGCATTTAAAATATTACCGTAAATTAGTTCATATTATACTGTTGTAATAAATGGGAAAAGGCCAGGGGATCACTGTGGTCCTGACTATCAATCATTTTCCCACAGAAAGGTTTGAATTCAATTCAAAATACACCTGTTATTGTGCTGAAATTTTCGGGCATCCATATTGCCAGGTAAAATTGCTGTAAAAGTGTATTTAACTCAATAGTTGCAGGCGCCAGGTACACGTACTATCTGTCGTCCATCTACCATACACATGTAAATTGGAATCTATTTTGCAATAATGAAATGAAACTGCTTCTGTTCGTTGCGTCTACGCAAAGATTATACACCGCCATTCATGGTCGTTTAAATGGAAATTCTTGACAACACTATCAGTTACCAGAAGTAATGGCAGCTGTCGTGGCTCCGCTGTGTCGTCAAGAAAATCGAATTATACCTCCATATATAGACACGAGAAGTAATTACATGAAAATGAAAAGCCTAGTGTACACAATGCTATGTAAACAGATTTTTTTCCAATGGATCTTCGAGCAAAGTGGCAGTGGCTAATGTGTGACTAACTACACACGTACTTGAAGAGGCCCGCGATTTAACAAAAAATAATTTCAAAGATTTTTTTACGTTGCTTTTATCGGGCAAAACCTGCCTACTACATGCTAACGACAGTAGCGTTCAGGTTCGATAGCATGCACTGAACTGCATTCAGACATATTTAATTGGTCGTGCAGTGTGCTTGGATAATCGTAGGGCACGTGAGAGCATTGATGTTCAACCTCGCCGAGCGTAGATCAGTTTGTATCAGCTTGGCCGCAATCCGCTGAGACAAAAATCCTGTTCTCCAAATCATTCTCGTGGGGTTTAATAAGAGCGTCTTCCGACCCGTGACAGATCTGTTGGTCCATGACAGATCTACTCACCGTCAACAGAGCGGCACTAAATACTTCTGCTGTGCCTCCTGGCATTCGTACGTGCAAAAAGACCAAGAAAGGTCGTACACCGCTAGAGATAAATACTGCATGTCAAACTGCGGCTATTTCCACTTGTTTTAGTTAAGCTTGAAGACTTGTTTTTGTTCCTGCACAATTTTAGTGCACATAATTAATTAAGCGCGCACTCAAGGTGAACGCTGCGACGCTGTGTTATGAATGTGACTTAATTTGTGAAGAAAAGGACGCGATTATCTTTGAGAAATTTTGCTCTTAATTACATAAACTTCATGTGTGTCTTGCATGCTTCGTTCATTCGTTTGTTTCCCTAGTTTTAGAGCTCCCTAGTTTTGATTAATAATCGTTTTTGTGCTCCACACTGACGAGTTCTTTGATTTGCATGTTTTCATTTAACTGTGCGTTTTATTTTTCGAAAAATAAAAGCGTAGAAAGAACAAGAAAGGTAAAAGCGTAGAAAGAACAAGAACTTAGCACAGTCGGTGGCTGACATAATCATTACATTTGCAGCTTGTGCAAAATAGTTTTTTTCAATACACAAAAATTGGAGTCCGTTGCAGATTCTAAAGTTATGAACTATAAACCATATTGCAGACAAATCTGGCCAAAAAAACGCGACTCCGAAACATTACTGAGACAGCGTAGGTCTCTCCCATTAAAAAAAATAATTCCTTCACATTTTCTGAAAAGATAAATTCTCCATCTCCAGACTTAACTGTTCAGCTTTTTTTTCACGATGACCATCAGTCCAACTGCGTGTGACTGTTCCTTACAAGGTGGAAAAGCGTAATTCGGATATGTAGCCTATGTTATTTGCCATTTCTTTGGCCTAAATCTGCGTACGAGATGTATGATTGCCTCTTTACCCAATAAGAGCTGGCTTCTTGTTAAAATGTACGCGCGCCTTCGTGCGACGTGCGCATGACTGCAGTGCCTCAGAGTCCACTCCCACGGAATCACTTACTGAATACGACGCCAGCGTTCCGAGGTTGTGACGGGACCATATAAAATCTAAAAAGTAAGAAGAAAGATTTTTTGTTCCGGTTATTGGCGTTTTAGGCTGCATCTGAATCTCTTGTCTACAGCTAGGTCTAGGTCTTTGCTCCATTGGAAATGCTTGGAGACGCGCAGACAACAGACGGAGCCGTAGCTCTAGAAGCCCGTTTCGGACAGGGCCTTACGCATGGTTGAAGATCTCCTTTGGAATCCGTGATTTTTTCATCTAAATCCGTATTTTATTTTTCTAGTTTAGCGTTAGAAAGCCTATCAAAGGTTAGCATGTTTCCATAATTGAATACCAAATTAAATTTCGGTGACGTTATTGCTCCGGTCGGTTTGACATCTCGCGTTACTATCTTGACCAATCTCGCTTGCTACTATGCCTGCTGTTGTTAGCATTTTCGTGAAACTTATCGAGTCAGTTTTCACCAGTTTAGGTTTCCACCACACAAAAAAGCATGGTGCAGCTGCCAGATGTTCATCAGTCAAGCTATGATGTCTCCATCTTTCTTATGTATCTGCTCAAATTCGAAATCGATCGAAATCGAATTTATATCTCCGCCTCAAAAGCCCAAGCCAATTAGGCCTACTCTGTCATGAAAATGCAGCCAGCTGCATCTCGTGCGCCTGCAAAGCTGAGAAATGAGTAATTTCTTGGTCTCCGGGTTTATATATTCGTGTAGAATCTGCTGCAAGGTGACAGGGTGGATTCAGCGAATGGTCTCTCGGCGAATTTGCACAGTTGACCTGCTACAGTGATCATAAATGAAATTTAGTGCCCAGAGCGAATCTACGATCAATTCAGAATGTCGCATTTCCTCTGCAGATTAAAAGGAAACTTCTCAAAGCTTTCTTGCACTTTAATCACTGATTGTTTTTCGTTTGCAACTAATGTCTAGATAATACTACCTAAATTAGTTTACAAGGTTAGATTTGAAGACAGCCTACGTCATTCTCACGTCCAAACATGGATTACAAGGGTAATTAACAATATGTATTATCAAACACATCGGGCGACTACTGACCCTAAGATGCTATGAATTATTTTCTATAGGGAAATTATGTCACTCATACCATCTGGTTCGTGGTTCAAATCCCCATTTGGGTAAAATGACTGTGTCTCGTGACAGGGATCATTTACCATACTGCAGTATCGCTTAATGTGCGGCAAATCATACGAAATTGATCGACTCATCGACTCAAGGATTTCGGCAATTCTTGTTTCCACATGGAAGGAATTGGAGACGCCGATAGCGACGTAGACCAGAGGCAAACGGCAACGCTGACGCCGCAACCATTTCCTCTGAAGAAAACTCCCAAATGATGCAAAGTCACGGTATCTCCGATCATCGACGAAGTTGAATCAGGTTTTATTTTGCCAGTCATCTGTTCGTAATCTCCGAGCACAAAGCGATAAATCAGAGAGAGATGATCGAACAAAACCCTTTTTTCCTCGCATCATGCAGAATAATAGCCCTAAGGTACATACAGGGCAAAATGGACAGTGTGATGTCCGAGAGCGAGATCGTGCATTACAACTTTGGAGACTAAGGAGCCTGTGCGTGTATCTCTATTATCCCATAAGATATGCAGTGCACATGCACGACGCAGCTAAAACACTGCAATAAGAAGTCGGTATTCAAATTATGCTCAGTTCTGGCCAGTGGTCACTAGTCTGGTTGGTTTGTCATTGGAGTGGCATGAAAGTAAATTGTGATCCTTCACGCTACACTCTCCCCACACACAATTTCATAATCTTCGAGGAATTATTAACATTGGCACAACAAATCCACATCATACACGGTTTCCGAGTTTGACTTTAGAAGGGGAAATAAGAGGTTATTTTCCTGTCCTCCTGTAAACCTGTCTTTTGATTCCAAACACTGACTGGCATTTTTATGGGCGGCCAAAGTTTGCAAATTATTTCGCCCACGAGCTGCGCATTTCCTCCATTGATGATTTAAAGATTGAGGCACTTCAGTTGCTATAATGTAATGGTATTTATTATTTAATTGCTTTAATAGCTATGTGAGATATTCGAGCACTTTGTTAATTATGTTTATATTTTTGTACAAGGCCGGTTTTATTTTGCCAACCTTTAGTCCGTGACGTGCAGTAAAAGAAGGGTCTTGGGTCCCGAGCTGGACCAAGACAGGGCGCTATTTCCTCAGCAACGGCGGCTCCTTTGGTAATAACTGCACATCGCTGGTTCACGACCGATCAGAAAACTCAAGCGTTGCGGTTGCGTCGCTACCAACAAAATGAATACTCCCAAACAACGCGGCTCTTTGCAACCGATGAGGGGGTGCTTCTGCTCAGGGCGGATATACCTCTTCAGGGTATAGCTTGGCGAAGAGTTGCCCTGAAATCATGTTTGTTCCCTTCATCAAGACTTTCTTCAGTGTCCTACGTCTATTATGAAATGGCTCCCTACATGCCGACTTTGCGTTGTGCACTAATGCCATATTCGCTTACATATTTGCAGGCGGCAAAGAAAAGGGCGGAAAACAAGGAGTTACTGATGGAATGGACAAAACGATGCCGGTAAAAAGGTCACTGACATGCGTAGGTTTTCTCTCACGGCTTGGAGAATGACAGACAAAAACCTTCCTTTTATGGCATCTTCAAATTGAAACCCGCTCTGGTTTGAGCATATGAAAGGATCCATCTCTCCGTGCAAACCTTTCACCATTCAATCGTCCGGTCATTCCCTTCGTTCAGCAGCTGGTTCAGAGAGGCGCGGCCAGTGGGTGTGTAATTGTGGCACATTACCTGACAAGAAACTCAAACAAAATGTAGAGGACGATTTTTTAATCCAGCGTTAGGCCTATGGTCAGGCGTTTTATTACAAGGACGAGTACAGCTAGTCATTAAAAGAGCGGTGAATATGCAGAAACCATCTTGCGCATATCCATACTGCACATGAGGTCGACTTTTTCATAGTGACTGCAACCAGACACCGAGCGTAAACCTGGCCAAGGTAAACTTCTGGTCACGCATAAAATCGTCTTTGGTTCCTGTGAGCGCTTCAACAAAACAATGTAGATTTGTACGGCAATTCAGATTCATAATTACGAGTTCCGGATGTCATATAACCTTGCAACATCTACTCTGCCTGGCATTGCAAAATGAGCTGCATCCCTAGAGGGAGATCATGGTGAAGGCGTGGCTTAACTGGCCAAAGTCATCTTCAGCACGGCACGATCGTAAAACGCCAGTAATACAATTAGCATACTCATACGTGACTAGACACAACGATTTGATGAGTGGTGTTTGTTCGAATGGTTTGATGTTACCGCAACTGTCACTTTGGGTGGCAGCAACATTTTTACGAAGGGTTTCAGTGTTGTCTCGAAATAAACGTAGGCCTATACACTGCCCTGAATTTTTCTTATACATTGATCCATCGAGAGAATTCAATCTAAGCCTAAAGTCCATCTAAGTTTACTTTGGACATTTGTGTTTTACCTTTGTAAATTCACTGTCATTCATTGAGAGTGAAACTCGGACTGGAAAACAAATTCAATTTGCTGATCTACCTGCCCTGTTTAAGTATGTTGAATTAAATATAGGCCTACCTATGCCCAATGTCATCCCATCCCGAGAATTGCTGGGAAAATGGGAAATGAACCGGATCATTCTCCTGCTTGTAACCTTTGCAGACACATGTTCAGAATAATTTGGTTGCGTGGACTAGGTGAGAAATTCTCTCTTCCAACTAGTGCTGCATTCAAGTCCATCACAAGGCCTCACAAGTGTCTTTAAGTCAGTCACCAGTCTGTATATGTCTTATGCATCAAGATATCAAATGAAGGATGACGCTTTGTGACTGTCAAGCCTGTGGCAGTGTGACTAAACTTCTGAAAGGGCTTGCCATGGGATGGACCCTACGACAACTCAGCCCCCTGCATGAAGTACGTGTTGGATTAACACTAAGAGCTATCCATGTACAAGCCAATAGTGTTAAATGGAGCGTGTTTTTGCCCTACACTATCCGACAGCCTTAATCTCAAACAGCACTTACTCATAGTGCATATCAGTTTGTTAGCAGCTGTATCGTTTTAAGACAACATCGCTGTCATTTCAAGAACGTATCTGGCAAAAACGTCTTCAAACGCATTACCAATTACCTAGAAGAATGATTGATCACTACACCGTACCTTCTCGCATTCGTCCACGCAGCCTTTCAAAGTCGCTTCGTCATAGCTATCTTCGGGTGTGTGGACGAACTCACCCCCACCACCGCCGTAGCCGGCAGGGCTGCCGACGTGCTGCGGGTGGTGGTGGACCCTGGCTCCTGCGTGCGGCACCGTTAGCGACGAGGGGCCAGCGCTCCGGGGTCGACTGCTACAGCCGCGGCCGGACGAGGTGCGGTTCATTCAAGCCGGCTTGCTGTTCCTGTCTCTACCGGGGCTACTCATGGGGGTCGTACGCTTGCCACGGGTGTACCCCCGCTGAATCCTAATACCGCGAGTCCTCGGCTCAACACTTGAGACCCGTGGCTGATCTTTATAATTCATAACAGCGGAGTGCACGGAGGACGGTCTGGCAGCAATAGCTCCATGGTCACACCACGCCGTGTCTCCAATGTGTAATTAGCATTATGACTCGTGGGAGGACGGTGCTAAATGCTTTTAATAACCATAAAAGTGACCAGTCTTACGGTTGACCCAGATACAGGAGGAATGCCATTGAAGAAAAACATTAGCTGGATAATCCACGAAAGTCTCCCTGGGCTGCGATAAATGCATGCACATCAAACGCCTGGCAAATGGGGCAAATTTGAGAGCCAAATGACGATTTCACCAACTGGTATATCTATCTTTAAGCATTGGTACTGCACAGTATTTTTTAGAGAGCAGTTCGTGCAGGGCATAGGCCTATATGCTGCGCACATCACATCTTCGAAAATGGAAAGCTAAGTGAACTCGATGGATGTATAAACACTCATTGGCGAACACGACGTTCAACGCGTACGGAAGTGACGATTTCCACCTTCGCGCCAGCTTGATTACGGTAACCGCATACTGTACCTCGCCGGTGTCGGCATGTAATAATTTATGGGGGGAACGTTCTGCGCAGCCTCGGTGCATCAGTACCATTACGTATGAGCGAAGAATGTAGTGGCATCTGCGGAATACCCGGAGTAGCTGAACAGCCGTTGTATAGCGAAGGCTTCGTTAGATGCTGATTGGTGAAACTTCCTCCGCAGACGCACTGTCCTCTTCATCCTTAATTGTTCTGCAAGATGGACTGCCCTTTCGTGGTCGATAAAACGTACGGCCCGTGTTACTTGCATTTTCCTTTTTTTCGAGCGTCGCATTTTATATCTACGGTTATTATGTTTGCATTGGATGTTAGTCGGTTGATCGAGATGAAATGGAATCTGGGGTTTGAAAAATTACTCGTTGGACACAAATAAGGCTTGATAAAATATGACGCGTTCAACATCATCATGTCTCGTAAAGAATTAACACTTTTTTTCCACTGAATGAAAAATAAGCTCAGTTTCCGAGTGTGACCGTTTATTCAAAAAACAGGTTAAAGGAGGGAACTTAACAAGTGAACACGGAAGTAGTGAGCTTCCACTATTCATGTTCATGAATATTCCACAGCTGTCACTGTCCGTTATTAGCACAGCTTTCTGCAGACAGCATTTAAACTTTGAATTATTTTGAAGTGTAAGAAAAGAAGAGAGGAATTGTTAAAACATCACAATTGCCCAGTAGCCTATCGAACGAGGGGGGCAGGAGGGTAACTTGAACCAGCCCCCCCCCACGGATTATTATTACATATGTATTTGGGGGGAGTACTTCATAGGTGAGTGGTAAAAAAGTGACCGGTATATTTATTTATCCAATATTAGCACCAAAACCTTCAGAAAACAATACCAGCTAAAAAAAAGCAAGGATCTAGGGACCTCAATTTAAGGCGTTTGATTTTTTCCCTTCATTACATCATCATGTTGAATGAACCCGAACGCGCATTCGCCACCCTTGACAACAGCTACTCGACGACAAGCAAGCAGCGCACTGTAATCTTCGTCACCCTCAGATGGGTTGTCCTACGCTGCGCACGACGAGGCCGGTCCGCCTGGGGCTTTGCAGCCACCGGTTTAATTATCAATATGGGTTCCTCTCCTGCACTATTCGACAAAGAGGGCGATTAGAGCGCATTCATGTATGGCTGCAGGATATCAACCCCCCCCCCCGCTTTTTTGCGATGATGAAAATGGCTCCCCATTTGCCCTCGAACCTCGTTGCAGTGAGGCATTTTCTGTGCCGCCAGTCGCGTTCCCTCATGCCCCCAATTTGTTCTGACTTGAAAAATCAGGCCTATTTCCTAACTGCTTAATTGGTCAAGATCGATTAAACTGTCACCTGAAAATAGGCGGATGTCTTTGGAAAGCATGACCCCACCTTTCTTGACGACGACATCGTTTCTAAGACTCTTGATTGAGGCTGTTCTGCCTACTTTATTTCTATTCACTGCTCTTTACCTCCAAATTAATTTAAAAAAACTACAAGCCTCAAAAACGCATATAACCCTTGGCCAAGTAATTCATTTCATATTCTTTCATATATTATACTTCGAGCAAAATGCAACCTCGTGCTAAGAAGAGCATGGAAAATAGTGTCCTATCTCGCTGGGGGCGAGGCAAATGTGCATTACGCGTATGCATAACTAGTTGGGTCAAATCGCTGCTGAGGTGTTTAGAGACATTACACATTTTCCATCCCAAGATCTTTCAGTGTGATTCGGAAATCCTGTTACTACGTTGGTTCTGCCACAGTTTATCAATTCAATTAGTATAGACTGCCCTCACTAATAATTTTTATCCCCCCTCGGCCCGACAAGTTGTGCCCTGCCAACTTTGCCGTACTCCTTCCTGACGTCAGGCATTACCACACAATAGATTGAAAAGTATTTAAATCAGCCTTCAGTTCATTTCAAATCTTAATCTACTGCGCGTAAAGGCCTGACGTTAGGAAGGGGTATGGCATGTCGGAAGGTCTGGTCGTGAGACGCGTCCGAACGACTCTGCGATGTCCATAAACTTTTACAGCGCCCCCTTGCGTTTCGTCTGACAAGATCGTTTTCAAGATGGCTGCGCCTACGAGTTCGAAGCATGAGAAAAACCTACGTCCGAAAGTTGGTGTTGGTGTGGTAATCACAAGTCCGTTGCACCCTAAATGTGTGCTTATAGGAAAACGAAAGAACGTGCATGGTGATGGATATTATGCTTTACCAGGAGGGCACTTGGAATTTTCGTAAGGCACAGTAAAGAGCTGTAGGTCTAACGTTAATAATTAATAGGCCTACTAAATACTATTACTAGGCCTACTAAAACAGTAAAAAGTTAAACTCTAGGCGTTCTTGGTCTACCACCTTCGTCATGTTTGTAAGGCCACAGGAATGAAATTTTGTTTGGAAAGAGCTCCATACACGGACAACACTCAGTTTTCCTTAAAATGTTAAAACAGCCGTCAGAAAGTGATAACATGTCTTAAAATAAGTTAAAAAGTGAAATTTAGCGGAGAAAATTCTGAAGCATTTACATGTACTTAGAAAACACTTAGAGTTTTTCAAACTAGTCTCAGAGGTGCACGAGGCCTCAAGTGTTTTCCATATATGGAACTCTTTTCTTTTGTTATTTGTCCGAGCATGAAATAAAAAACATGGTTTTTTTATCATTAATCATTATTTCAAATGAAATCCTTCTGACAGAGGTTAACATTTTACGTAAGATACAACCAGTAGAGTTTCATCATGTTCATAGAATAGCCCAGAAGTATACTCTGTCAGTCATATCAGTGGTTGTCATGGTTGACAAGTCATCGGTTGTTTCTAGGAAAGCATGCATAATTTGAAATGTTTCAGAAGGAAGCACTTTTCAATCCATTTAATTCAATAGGGATGCCAAATAGTTTCCTTCTTTGAAGAAGAGTGTAAATTTGCAGAAAAGTTATGTCTTAGAAACAATCGCTGCAGCTACACTTTAAATCAGCGGCATAATAATAGAAATCTCATGCACACACCACTTCAGCACATCATCACAATGATAAAGTCTGTAACCAGCCGTCTTATTTTTTGCTTTAGTGAGCTCAAAGTCCATGCTGATTTTTCATCATTGCTGTGAAATTTTGGCCCTGAAGTGATGTTGGTGGGGTCTCGCTAATCTGTCAGAGTGTGAGGCAGCTCAGATTGGATTTGGATTTCCTACCTACAGAACTCTGAGTCACTACTCTGTCTGACTTGCAGTCCTTTGACTTTTTTATGGGTTCTTAACTTGATGGGTTTAATAAAACAAAGGCTTTAAGTCACACGGAATAGTGACTTGGAATTCTGCAAGTAGGTATTCCTATGCCAGTGGAAAAATTCTTTTTAAGGACCAAAACAGTGGTAGTGGTAGTGTAGTCTACTTGCCTTTTGAATGACCCCAATTCTGTAAATTCAAGGTTGGCCTTTGAAATGGAAGTCTTATCCTCAAGGCTTAACTGCCTCCATTTGTACTCATGGAAGGACTGTACAAATAAAGAGATGCTTTGAGAAGATTGTAAAATGAATTGCTCAATTTTTTTCTGATGAAGGCAATTAGCCAAATTGGTATTTCGGTCCCGCATGCGCCAACTGGCCTTGACGACCCTTTTTTTGGATAAACAAACCATTCTGCTCCATAGCAATGCACATATTCTCACCTAGTATTTTTTCGACTCGCCATTCTGGTTTGGATTTCTTCGAAAGTAAAAGATGTTCTGCTGTGTGCCTGGGCAGTTTTTGGGATATACACACCTTTATATGAAAGGTGAATAAAGAATCCCCTAAATATTTCTTGCAAAAAATTCATATTAACTGCAGAAAGTTGAAAATAAATTAAACCTCACTTATTCGTACACCAGGGTCTATGCTATACCATACCGTTGGCTACGCCACATGGGTTGGTTTATCCAATTTCTATCCCACAATGCCTCGCACCCCCGAAACTCTGACCTGGCTTATTGCATATTCCATCAGGGAGACTTGGGAGGAATGCGCACTCCGCGAGACCCTTGAAGAAACAGGGCTGAGCATTATCGGTGTGACCTTTGACTCTGTAATCAACGCAGTCATCGAAGAAGAGAGATATCATTACGTTGTGATATTCATGAGAGGGGAGATTGATTTGACCAAGAAGAAGGAGCCTGAAAATATGGAGCCCAATAAATGCGAAGGTTGGTACTGTTCTGTTTGAGTCACAGTATTTTGTTCATTTCTGGAGAGTAATGTTCGACAAATGGGAAAGATATCCATATGCGGACACCGCTTGACTCCCTGTGCACAAACCTATGAGACTAGTCTGAAAAATGCCGTCTTCTAAATGAATGTCTCAATATTTTCACTGGTTTGTTGACATTTTAGGAAATATTGCTTTCAGATGGCTAACAGGTCACTGCAGGGATAAATTTCTCCGTACATGGAATTCTTTCCAACGAAATTTCTTCATTCTATGCACATTTGGACGTTTAAAGATCTGAGGGGGATGGACAGAGATATTCCTGTTTTTGTCAACATGACTATATTCAAACATTGGTCTTTTTTGGTACAGTAACTTTATAGATTTCTCAGTTCTATTTCGTGCAGACTGGAGAGGTGTTCTCTTTGTACGAGTTTTGTGTATATTTTGGGTTCACTGCCAAAAATAGCATTTATATTGCAAAATATAAAGACTTTCTCCATAACAGCCACAATTGATTCCCCACAAGTCAGTCACCGGTCATCCAGTTTCATGTTAAGTCACAGGGCATTCCAATAAGTAAAGTGCATGGATAGACATATGACAAAAGCATTCATTTAGCTCGTCACCGTGCGTGCCATGAGTTAACAAATGATTAAAATCATGAACTGGCTTTGAAGTCCACACATTTCAAGGTCTGCCATAACATCCCACCCAGCTTCATTTTGTTCACATGATGGTAACAGGTCATCCTTCAAGTAGTGTGAATTTCTTTTGACATGGTGCAAACTCCCACACTATCCGCAGCACGCAGCTCACAAAGTGAACGATTTTGTTTCTTTCAGGTTGGGAGTGGTGGGATTGGGACAAGTTCCCGAACCCAGAGGACCTGTTCGTTCCGCTTAGGATAGTCAGGGAGAAGGGCTATGATGCGTTCAGGAACTGCCCACCGTGATACAGCTACAAGTGCACAACTCTTCTTGCTGTGACAGCTGAAGAGACAGTTTTAAGTACCTCATTTCCGCTGCACTGCCTTTCACAAGTTTAATGTATTGTTTCTAAGTGGCAGGCTTCCGAATTGTAACCAGACTCTCCTAAGGATGACACAGTAAAATGGCCTTGCTGATGGTCAGGCGGTGTCGAATAGTCAGGGTCCCAAAAATGACAGGCAGTTCCGATGAAAGATTTTGAACTATGAATTGTCTTGTTCTGATTTTATTCATGCGTTATGTTGTACTTCCATGAAGTGCAGACACACAGAGGGAACAGCTGATTTTTCTGTACTTGAATGTCAGTCCTTTGTCTAAATCAGTCTTCTGTTAGCATTGGTAATTTCCAGGGTTTAATCTATGGGAGGTTATATTTTTTTAACAAAAAGAAACATCATTTTGTGTCCTCTGAAGTTATATATATGTAAAGCGCAAATGTGTGTGCCATCATCGTTAAATTTGTTCATAGTTGTGTTTTTCATACTGAGCTGAAGTTTAAGTCAAACCTTAAAGTTAATTTTTTCTTTGATGAAGGGAGCCTTTTAACACACCAAATAAATGCACAAGTAAAAACGTTGTGAGCTTTGTTATCTTAATAATTTAATAATTTTCCATCATCAAACTGCAACAAGTCACTATCAAAGGTCACTGGAAACTTTGGGCAAATTTCGATGATAGACAACACTCGGCCAATGGTCTTCGATTAAAGTTTACTCCTGGTCTTGCTAAAGTAAGATCTGCTCCATGACAAAATGAAGTTGAGGCCCACTGCTTCTATCACCAAAACGGCACAGAGACTGCTCCATGCTGATTGTCCTAACCTCCCCTCCCCCCCCAAAACAAACCTATCCCTCAATGTCCAATGGGAGTTTTGCAGGGCCTTCACAGGGTCAACTGCGGCAGCATGAGAGCCCATATCGTAACTGCGTGACATTTGGTTGGATGCTCCTAGAACGTGGAAAGTGTAAAGAATGTGCCCCAGGGTTTACTGTACGATGGAGGATTTGGGGAGAATTTGAACTTTTGAAGAAATTACAAGAGACAACACCCCAGGAGTCGGCATTCCCACTGGATTCAGCAGCATTTGAAAATTTCGCAGGCAAATGGAAGAAATTCCGAATTATTTGAGTATATCCTGATTGCAAGCTTTACCAAGAATCAACGACAACGGAAACACTGCTTCATTGTACAAAATACATCAATGCCAGTAATACAACTGATGTGTATAGTCATTTCATAATAAAAGGCTGTGTCACGTCCCCTTTACTTTTATCACTTTGTATATGTTGAGATCTTTCCCAATAATTCTGGAGACTTCCTCCGAAAGCAGGTGGAGCATGGGGACGCCATCGTGGGAGTATACCCAGTCGTCACCCGTGAAGTCGTACCTCTTGGGACCACTGGAAAAGATGGAATATGAAATCCACAGAAATTTTCAAATTTTCCAAATTTCTTAATTTATCCATCGTTGAGGATGTCATAATGCGGGCCTTGTCCAACTGACTGTGTAGGTTATACGCTCTGTGCATGGGCAAGAGAGGGCACTCTGCTATGTAGCAAGACAAGCTGGAGGACAAACATCTCATGTTAAGTGTAACTCCAATGAATTTTTCATAGACACAATTTTTCTGCAAGAAATACTCTCTTTTCAACGTCCGAGAACTATTTCACATCCTTGTGGTTCAAATCCTCCTAAAATGCACTTTTTAAACATTAAATTATCCAGGCTTTCCTGGACAACTTGAGGCACTGTTGCAGTGATGTTATTCAGGGAAGGAATAGAACGCACAATTAACTCACTGTAAACATTTCTGAGAAAGCGTTGCTTTCTTGCTTATTGCTATATACTTAACACTCCAGAAGAGCAAGTAAGAGACAGACCTTGTTGGGGATGACAGCCAGATCTGTTTGTTGGGTGTCTGCTTGTTGATGACATAGGTGCCATGGTTGGGCCCAAATTTAACTGTTAAAACACCAGACTGCATTGAAAGAAAACCAAAAACCCATCATGCTGTTAATTGTAAAGATTTCTAGATTCTTGTAATAAAGTGGTATCCGAAGTTCAAGCCTGCGTAACTAAGACGAAGCAAAAGTTGGAGGAACTGTTCAAGTGATATACACGCAAGTTCACTATTAGTCGACCCTAATTTCAACTTACACCCTGCAAATTGTTAAATTTGCTATCTTAAAAATGTTCAGTGATCCTTGCCTTTTGAGCAGCAAAAATTGTAAAATTAGTTTCTCACCCAGAACTTTCAAAAGAATGAGAACAAGAGGCAGCCCTTTTTCTTTAATCCTTTCCCTTTTCAAGAGGAGATTTTACAAAGATTGCTTGCTATTTCGCAAGGAGTTACATGTACATGTACCACCCAACTTAAAAGGTCTGAACATGCATGCATGGCTGTATATTTCATAAGAAACAATGTCAATATATAAACAACAAAGTTTTACAACAGTAGACAAAAAAACAACGGTTAGGGGAAAGAAACAAGGTAGGGTGAGAAACTATTTCTTATTTAGTTGGCCAAATCATTACATTTTCACAAGTTCCAAGATCTGCCAACACTTTAATTCTTAAAACTGTAAACTGACATGCTTGCCAAAATAGCAAAGGAATGTTGTCATTTACCGAATATGTAACATCAAAATCCTCGTGGACGTCTTCTTCATCCCCGAGCTGCTCAAAGAAGTCTAACAGACTTTCCAAAATGTCCTCCACCATGGTGTCAAAGGACAAAGCATCAAGTTTCCTGTGAAATCGTTTGAGTTAACACTCTATTTTGTTAACACCAGGAGTACTAACCATCATGCAGATACAGCACAAAATGAACACATCACACTTCTAGTACCATAGCCTGGGTTTTCTGTACATTGCACTCATACAAATGTGGTTATCTTACCCATCTGAGGAATCGGTGGAACGGCAGAGACCTGCAGTACAACTGTACACTCCATCCTGAAAAACATGAGCAAGCTGTGTATTGCAGAAAAATCCTTTACATCACGCATTAAATTATGCTAAGTAGTAACCAGGAATGATGAAAAATTGTTCTAAATATGGTGATGATGCACGATGGTCTTGTCCTACGGTTCTTATCCTAGGCTGGCTATAGCCTAGGTCTAATGGTCTAATTTAGGCCTAGGCCTGAAACTCATATCATATCATTTATCATAGCAATGTCATGTGGCTATGAAAAACAGCAATTTATGGTCAGTGCATTTTTACCTTCCCAGAAAGGAATGAAGAATGTGTCTGGCCAATACTATCAGTCCGAAAAGGATATGCATAACAACTTGAACGTGGCCTCCTGACATGCCCGAGCACACCACATGCACATGTCACTCGTCTTAGCAAGCCCGGCGCCGCCGGCCGTGCCGAGTAACTGCCGCTGTGACCGCCAATACGATGACTACACCGCGACCAAATTCTGCTTATTTTAGCCCGTCGAAAAAGAGAGCTCAATGCAGATCCAATCATGACGCACTGCACATTTCCAGGTCTCTCAACTGTAAACATTCACAATGTTAAGACTTAGAAGTCTGGTCCTGGGTCTAACATGGGTAGCGCGCAGCTGTTTCGTCCCAACTATAGCTTCAATCCCAACTATAGTTGGGACTTATGCTATAGTTGGGACGTAACAGTGGCATTTCGAATTTGCTTCGGTTGTCCGAAGGTGGCGCTATACGCGGTAACTTGAGCGGCCTGCGTATTAGCTTGTCGGGTCCGAGGCTGGGAATGCGGTGGTGCCGCGGTACAACGTGAACCCCCCCTTTTCAAATTTTCATGGACGGGCAAGTCATCACCCTGCCCCATCTCCCCCCCCCCTTCGAGCACAAATTTACGCCACTCGCATTCACGGTGACTTTGTAAAGACCCCAAAATAGTAGTGATAACTTTATTTAGTGCATCAAACTATTCATTTTGCTCAATGTAAGGGTTAATGTAGCCCTAGTACGTCAACCCCGTTTGTTGCGTTGGTGATTTTTTCCGTTACTTTGATTCTAATATATAGGGTTTATTTAAACCTTAGTGCACCTGTGGACAGCATGAATTATGGATCTACCGGGGGCGGAAAACAAACATATAGCAAGGAGATTGTACAAGCTTAGCTATGTCACGAGGCACAGAGAGTTGCATTCATTTATTTAATTATTCGAATACTCAATCGTGTTAGCCCTTTTCGAGGAATTTATTAGACCACCAGCTACTCTCAAACCGTCAACAACCAGAGTTGCATGTAGACTCGAGTCACTACTATGAACTGTGCATCGGCTTAACCACCCAACGTTTAAAGTATACCACCGGCTACATTTTAACCACCTACTTTGTTTAAAATACGAGCTACTTTTTCACGATCAGCCAATTTTTGAACCACCAACTTTATACCTGTCGGCGCGACCAGCAACACGGCGCGACAGCAATATCGGAGAGCCGCTTAAGTGAGATATATGTGCAATCATGCGTATGAAGCCAAACCACGATGGTTGCGCTTGTATTGCGCATGCCCAATGTGTATTAGACTTGCGTTGCAGCCGTTCATTGTTACATCAACAGTAAAAACATCATCAATTTGTGTGAATTGCGGTAATCAAGCAGTTACGGCATAATGATTTGTGATGCATGGGGTGTGGGTTCGAATTATAGGTCGGAATTGTGGGCAGGGAGTTTTTTTTTTTTTTTTTTTTTTTGAGGAAAATAAAGCCCGAATGTTATGGAGCCTATTTTCACACGTGAAGTTTTTATGGTTGGTTGAGCATCGAGATGTCATGCATTGTGCATGTTTGTGAACCGCGGTTTGGCTTCATATGTGTGATTGCATATACAGCTCCCAGATCTTTTAGCTTTAAATTTCGACGTCTTTTCTCAAAACCATATGAATTAAATTTTCACTGGCGTTACAAGAATATGGATAAAGTTGCATTGTCACCTATTTGCCCAAACCAGCTCGAGCCCGACGGGTGAAATTTTAAAAAGGGCATAAATAATCATTATTTTAGTTTCCAGTCCTGCATGATAATGTGTTCACTGTGAGTTTTCTTTACATTAAATGGTATTATCTGAAATGCACTTGGCACAGATACACTATATTTCCCGATTGGCCTTCATGCAAAAAAAGCCGTAGACAGTTACCTTGGACCCGCTGGGCCGGCATGGTTAAAAGGTCACGAAGTTTCTTTGGTGGAATTCTGGGTATTTTTGCCGTAGTCGCGCCAGATCCTTTGCACAAATCGTCAGGTAAGTGTTTCAGCCTCGGCAAGGAGTTACAGCAATAGCTTTATTTGCGAGTTCCGCTATTTATGAAGATGCTCATTTAATAATTAACTTGTCAGTTTCTTGGACCACGTCTAGGCACAGGTTGACATGGACTGATTGAACGCCGTCGTCGATCACACAATGCATGCGCACATCATGCCTGTATGTAACGTTCTAGACCAAGTCCACTTACTACTTTCGTCATTTAGGGCCTACATATACATGACGTAGGCCTACGTGTGGTGTGTAATTTGAACGATGCAGTCTACAAGAAAGAGCAGATTTTCCATCATGTCCATTCGTTTTACAGTCAACATTGGAAGTGCATATTTAAGCCTATATCCTATAATATGCCCTAGGCATGCTCTGCCTTGCTGGGCTGTGAGTGTGAGATATATCATGCTGGGATGATGTCCCCATTTTTGCCTTAGGTTGTGGGCGTGAAAGGTAAAATAACATCTCCTGATATTTAATTATTTGTACTACAGAAAAAGGTAAGCACATCCATGCCAGCTAAGGGTCTATATGAGCTTGATCAGCTACCCTTGTACCAGTTGGAGGCTGGATGGGAATTCATGGAGTGATGATGGAAACACTAGCAGCAGACAAAATTTCAAAATGGATTGATATATCAGATGGAATAAAGTTATGTAAAATCTAATCAATATGAAAAAAGCAAGAAAGTGATTTCTTTCTACATCAGAGAATAACATGTGTAAATAAACAGTATATGATTTTCATACTTTGACACCAAACTTTACAGAGTACAGTCTGGAATTGAGGGTATCGTCTTATTAATTTTTTTTTTCAAAAAAGATGTATGCACAGGAACTTGGTCATGTGAACTCCAGAAGCCTCTGTCTTTTGTCTTGTCCTTTGATTTTCTGCTTGTTGAAGTGAACTCAAGTCCGAGCATTTATAAGCCTTAAATTTGGTTCTATGCTTTGCTCAACATTCTGTTGAACTGCACGTCTTCTTGTTGTATGGGATATTTGATGAATCAAATTTAGTGGCTAACTTTTAAGATTCAGTGCAAAATGCAGATATGCATGTATATATTGCAGCTCTATTCAAAAAGGTAGAAAAGTAGGTGAAATAGCAAGGCTGATTTTGAATTTGATGCAGTACACTCTGTTAACTCCATATACATGTACAGTAGGAATGAGATAATAAGATAAAAGAAAGGGGAGTGTAATTTATGGAATGATTGTGAGATTGTTAAAATATTTTTTTAAGTTGGTCTTGGTGGCGCACTATTGCCTGTATTCAGTGATTCAGAGATACCTACCTGAGATATGCTTTAGCTCTTTTTGTTTGTTCCCTACACGGGATTGCTGGCCACCTCTCCAACTATCCCTGCAGACCTATTTGCACCTGTGGAGCTGTCTGTTAAAAGGTGTTCTATTAACTAGCTCCACCTCATCAGCCCCCCCTTCCAGTCCATCAGACATCTCTGCAACCATATCCCCTCACTATTCCAGTGGCCATCTCAGAAATGGGTACGCTCAAACATTCCCGTCAGTTCTCCTGCTGAAAATGAAGTACTTGAATAAGAGTTCATTTCTTCTAAAACTTTTTCAACTGCACAGTGCTACATATTGCATGTAGTATATGATGATGTCAGTGATGTCTAGGCCTATAGCTTCCATTCAATATACGTTTGTGCACCGATGTTGGCTTGATCAAAGAATCAGAAGTTTATCATGTTAGTACATGTAACTTGTGGAATGCAATATCCTTGTTTGTTCCCATAGGCCAAAAGATCAAGTCCACCCCTCTATCATTAGCAAGATGGTTGGGGGCATCCCCCAGGAATCTGCCCATCATTGCTGGCCAACAGAATCAACCATCAGCAAGAAACCAACAGCAATGCCCTGTATCATCATCACATCAGACACCATCAACGCCGCCTCAGCAAACAACTCTCAATACAGTGTCCAGCGCTGCTGCCGATAGTTCAAGCAGGACTCCAGCCTCCCTATATAATGTCCCTACATCTCAGCATTGCAGACTGGAGGTGTTCTCTTGCTTTATAAAGGCAGGGTTCAAAGAATAGAGCCCTGTGCCATACAACTGCCTACCAGTGGCAAGGTCATCCAAGGGAGTGGTGCCTTTGGAACTGTCTGGCAAGGAACCTTCCATGGAACAAGAGTGGCCATCCAATTCATCAGGTCAAAGACAGACTTCCAGTCCTGAGGGAGGCGAGAGCTATAGGCCTTTTTTCAGGGCATCTGTCTTTTCCATGTTTCTTTGGCCTGGTAGTGGCTGGCCACCACCAAGGATGGACTCGTGATGGATCACCAGAAACTCCATTATGGGCCAGTTGCTGACCTTGAGGGATGCCCTGGAAGGGCCCAGCTGACTACATCTTGCCCCGTCGTCCAGGTGCTGCATTGTGCTGTATGTGTTGGACGGTCTGCGATTCATGCAAGACAGGGGCCTCCTTCATAACGACCTCAAAGCTGATATGATTTTGGTCCGTGATGTTGGGGGCTCCTGGTGTGTGTGTATTATTGACGTGGGGTTGTGTACCCTGGCGAGCCATCCTCGGGTACACTACCTCACCTCAGCACAGAAGGCGCGATGGCGGCGCTATCACGTGCACATCGCCCTAGAGCTGGTGGAGGATGCAGCACCACAGACCAAGCTCAGTGATGTTTTCCAGATGGGTCTGGTGCTGTATTTTGTGGGTCTCTGGGGCGGTGTACCAGGCATGATACCGCTCGCCTATTGGTGTCTGAGGCAAGACCACCTGATGCGGTCATCAATGGCCATACTCCCGCTCATGTAGGCTGGGGTTGCATAGGTCAATTAACTTGCTATTTTAGTTGAACTGTTTGTGGCTGCTAATGCTAAAATGTGAGAAATGTACAAATTATGAGGCATCACAGAGGAAGAGCTTAAACTCTACTCTAACAAGAACTTGGAAATTTCTTGAAGTTTGTAAAGAAACAACATCAGTAGGACTATGACTGATTCTTTTTTGGGGCATGTGATAAAAAAAATGATGTTGTCATCTTGTAAAAATTTCTTGTTCCTGGTATTTTGCTTATAATATTAGAGATAGCATTTGACTTGTACCATTTCCGAAAGCGATCCATGTCTAGCTAGAAATTCCATGGCAGAAAAAAAAACAAAAAAACCGGGCATTATAATTTTAAGTTAAACGTGAATTGCTTTCTAACTGTTCTACTCTTTCTATGAAACGAAACGAAAAATCGCTTGATTTCCGGTATGCAGTACTCTTGAGGATTGGAGGGGTGGGGAAATTTTCCATTCATTTTGGTGCTTGTGGTTCGGAGATGAGGCTACGTTGTTTGGAAAGG